CCCCTAACATTTTTCCCCCTTTGCATCTTCATTTCTGTTTTAATTAAACCTTAATTAAAATAATATTAAGTTTTAGAGAATTAAATGGGGGGGGTCACAAGACATCAGGACCACCCTGTAGAGGACAGACAGCCATGAATGAGGAGGGCGGGGGGAGGGGAAGCTGGGGAGAGGGTGTCTTCGTGATGACTCGTTAGGGGTGCGAGCGACAAGATGGGAGGCTACAGGGCGGAGGGGAAGCCAACGACGGGTACACATACACCACGTGGCAGCGGAGTTACGGCGTTACGTAACACATTCATAACAACGCTTGATGAAAACCACGCAGAAGGCCCACTGGTACGAGCAAGTCTCCCTCTCTCTCTCTCTTACGAGCGAGACCTTGAACCGCAGCCAGGAGTCGAACCCCCGGTTGGCCAGTATCGCGGTACGGTCCGCAAACACCGCTGACAACTTATGCCGATCCTAAACGTGGCGCACGGACTAACGCATGCAAGCAAGCAGTATCGCTGCTGCTGCTGCTGCTATGGTCAAGGGAAGGGGACGGCTATTTTTAGTAACGCCAGTCTGGCAGGCGGCCGGTAAAAAAACTTTGGTGAAACCGAGCCGCGTGCTGGAACGCCGCGGCCAAATGGATCATAAGGCAATTGTGGAGCGCTAGGGGGCAGGGGCGGGGGGGTAACGCATTAGAAGTGAGGGCCACAGAGGTGCAACGGACCCACAACGCCGTTTCCTAAGACCCATCAGGCGGGAGAGAAAGGAGAAAAAGGGAAAGTTGGGGGGGGCAGTCAACCATGTTTCAACTCTCAGAGCAAGAAATGTATCCACATTGAGCGCTAAATGAAGTTTCATGCCGATGGGGGGGGGCGGGGGTTTCGGTAACAGGGCTGAGATCATCAACTCGCTACACACAAGAGCCCGGTTTTAGCCTTCCTCTTCTCCCTTGCCCATTCTCTTCAACTTCCCCCACCCCTCCACTTTCCTAACCCTAACTCACCCCTCGACCGTGGTCAATCACTCCTAATCCCTCAGCATGCTCCTGCCACCTAAACAATTTCTTCGTTTATACCGGTTTAAAAAAATTATGTTCAGCAAGCGCCTTGATCGAAGGGCTGCCTGCAGTCGAACCCAGGATCTCAGCGGTGCCGGCAGTCCTCAGTGTGTATGTTCAGTCTGTTGAACTTATTTTTTGCACCGTACGTAGCCAACCGTGCTAATTGGGAGGCGCAGTGCCGACTCAGCGCTCTGACCTATAAACCTCTCTGCGCCACCTGGCCACATTTCTAACGTTTTAAACATGGCAGCGTTAATGACTTTGACGCGCCAAACCCATCTGCCTCAACGCACACAATAAGCACACACCTCAACAATTCTCTCCGCAAACTCATCACGGTTAATTACCCTTTTTCCCAAGAATTGTCAACTCTTCTCCTTGTCGTGATGCTCCACGTGCATCGAATGAAACTGCCCTGAGCGTTTAAAAAAAAGCCAATCGCTTCCCGGTTAACTTTTAACAGGGACTTAAATTACTTGATCGTGTATCAGAGTAATTGCTTTTGAATGTCACCCTACTCCACAGCTCACGTATATATCTTTCCTGAAAATACAACTTCAATTTTTTTTTTATCCTGATGCTGTTTTAGCATTAATTCTTGTTGGAAGCTATGAAACCATTTTTTTTATTTTACCAGGTAAGGTCCACTGAGCTATGCAGCTCTTTTTCAGAAGCGACCTGGCCACAATTGATAGGTCAACAAAGTGGCTTATGTGGAAATTTTTAGCAGACAATTACTCTAAACGCATGTGACTTTGAATGCGACATTTTGCTAATAGTCGAAAATTTACGTTCATAAATTCGCGTCTGCAACGTATTGCTTTGTGTGACAAAGATGTTCCTTGAAATAAACTTTTGGTCTCAAACATTTAAAGACACATCTTACCATAATTAAACGGATCGCGTGTCGGCGCAGGTGTGAGGAGGCAGATCGCGAGAGGTGGCGGAGGTGGCGGCGGCATGGGGAGGCCTTCCTCCACCAGCAGTGGATTGATTACGGTTCACGATAGCGACAAAACAAATCGCGCGCGCGCGGACGCGAGTCGCGGGAACGCGAGGCCCAGCCGTGTTGAACCTTTGCTCTGTGGCTATGTGACGACCTTCATCTGTGGGGGTGGGGGGGCGGTGACCCATGGCCAGGCGGTAACGCGTTCGCCGCTTTTTTCAGAGCTACAAAGGTTCGTGGCTCAAATCCGGCAGGCTGCCCTTCCCTGGGCGCCACAGTGATGAGACGTTAACTGCCTCGCCTGGTATACAGACGGTCGTGGATTCGATCCCGACCCTGAAGCCTGTATATTTGAGTTTGCAAGTTCTCCCCGTGGTCGTGTGGCTTTTTCTCCTCCACATGTATAAACATGCATTCAATAGAATATTTGACTGCTATGCATTTCCACACGATAAGCCACTTCGTTGAGCTACCGTTTGTGGCCAGGTCGTTTATGAAAAAGAGCTATATAGCTCAGTGGGCCTTGCCTGGTAAAATAAAAATTGTTTGTTAGTTTAATTGTTGTTTATCACTGCAGGTGAATTAACTTAAAAAATATGAGCTGTCTGCTTCGCCATGGACATTAAATACCCCATGATGTCATTCGAAAAGAGGAGGCCGGAGTACTACTTAAAACGTGTGCGAGTGGAGTTAATATATTTTCGCCCTTGCTCTGCAGTGTATGTTCTCCCCAGTTCCCTGCATGAGAATATCCTGTAACCGGTGGAGAACTAAAACCAAACTATTTTTATTCTACCAGATAAGACCCACAATGTTGTCTGACGTCCAACCATATAGCCACACGTCGAGTGTATTCATAACCACACAGAGCGAATTTTGGGTAGATAGGTTAGCCGCATACAACGCAAGATCGCACAAACCGAACCCGCAAAGCGAGGAAAATCTCTACTTGTACCCACTGAGGGTGGTGTGGAAAACCAGAGGCCATCGGATGACTCACATGGGCCCCGCACTCTGCCCCGTATCACATTTCTCTAAGAGCAACATCATGGTGGGATTGGGTACAGAAGATGGAGTGGGGAGATATGAGGGAGACACGGGCTCCAGGAAGTGAGATGGGGCCCCTACAGGAGCCCAGGGAGGGGACTGAGGAAAGGTCACATGAGATAAGGTCATATCAAGAGGGGAGGTCATTGTGAGGTCAGCAGAGGTCAGACAAGTTCCTCTTTTTCTCTCTATGAATGTAAGATAAAGATGCCCATTGTATATGTACAGCATCTTGAGATAGTTGCATTTACACACGATAAGGGGGGCCACGGTGGCGAGATGTTAACTACCTCGCCTGGTATACAGGAGGTCGTGAGTTCGATCCTGGCCCTGACGCCTGTTGTATAATTGGAGTTTGCGTATGTCTGTTCCCATGGTCGTGTGTATTTTTCTCCGGGTCCTCCGAATCTCCCCTTCACATTTATAAATGTTTGTTGAGACTATTTGGCCACTGCTATACATTTCCACATGATAAGCCACTTCGTTGAGCTATCATTTGTGGCCAGGTCGCTTCTGAAAAATAACTACATAGCTCAATGGGCCTTACCTGATCAAATGTAAATAATTAATAGTTTTTTTTAGTTTATATAAAACCAACGTATTGTATGTGTACGCAGCTTATACGTGTGTGTATCGCAGTGTATGAATTTGCGAGTGTGCGCGACCCCTCCCCCCCTCGGCCAAACCTTAATGCGCAAGGTCTCCTAATGTGTACTATCTGTGCGTGCAGTATTTGTGTTGCGGAGGTCATTTGCAAATTATACTACCCTCGTCTGATTGAGTTCTCACGTGGTTCAACAAATAAACGTAAAAGTGTGGGAGCGGGGATGTGTCTGTCCCCTCCCTCGCCCTGTCTGTCCTTCACGCGCCGGGTCTCCGATGTGTATAAGTACATATTCTGATTCTGTATTGCACGTGCCTACTGTAAACGTGCATATGTGGGTGTGTGGTGCAGCAGTGGGGGAACGGTGGCGCAATCGGAGTTAAGATTCCCGCCCACGACCAAAAGTAGTGGCGAATATTTGAACCGGTCCTGGGCCTCTCCTAGGTCGACTCAGCGTTATGCACCTGGTACAGTGTGTAAACATCAAAACTGGGCAGAGGCGACCGGGCGTGGTGTTGGCCATCCACCCCCTGACTCTTGTATATTGGGAGGTTGCATGTCTCTCTATCCGTTGTCGTGTGAATTGCCAATACTGAAAATGTACCTGCAAATCACTCAATTAGGATTCTACACAGCAGCAGCGACATCGCGCCCTGCTGTGAAAATCTAGCAGGGCCCTCCTGAAAAAGAGGCTTTCCTGGTTAAAACAAGCGAAACAATCATAACAAAGGGGGGGGGGGGGGGGGGGGTTGGGTGTATTTGTGTATCAGATTCAGAATATAGATTTATTCTGGAGGAATCCGATGAGCTATGAAGCTCTTTTTTAAATCCTTTATATTAAGTTCGCTTGCGTGCTTGCTTACGACCGTGCAAACCTTTCGGTCGTTTTTTAACCCACTTCCCGTGATCCAATCGAGCTGACATTTTGCACACAGACTCGTTGTGCGAGACAATTAATGTTCGTGAAATTTGTTTTCCAAAATGTTACACTGTTTAGGGAAAACAAATTAAATATTTAATTACCAATTGTTTAATACTGCAGACAATCATCTGACCCATAGGTGGCAGCCATCTCAAGCCAGAGGACGAGAGGACTCTAGCCGCCACGCATATAAAGGATTTAGAGTGAAAAACTTTGTTTTTACGGGTTATACTTATCACACATGTCCAGTTGGGTTAGTTCAGAACCTTACAACAATACAAAAAACACACGACACGAGTGCAAGGTATAGGGGGAAAAAGTGCAAAACAAACCAATTGAACAAAAAAATATACAACCGAAACTAAACTTTTGTTTTCATCCTACGCGAGTCGCGCGAATTGTGTTGCGACCTCGCCACCGCTCTCACCCGGTCCTTCATGCGCCAGGTCTGCGTGGCCGCTCGTGATCCCTCGATCTTCTCCGTGTGTCGCTTCTTGGCGAGGGCGAGCGGAATGTGCCAGTCCGGCAGTGCGGCCGCCGCGGCCTCTGGCCCCGGGACCTCAGCGTCCGCTGTCGACGCCGCCCCCGCAGCCACCGCCACGACCGCCGTCTCCTCCTGCTGCTGATCCTGTGGTTGCTGCTGCTGCTGTTGCTGCTGTTGTTGTTGTTGCTGCTGCTGCTGCTGCTGTTCGTCGTCCTCGCTAGGTCCCAAGGAGACCCAGGAACCCCCGGAACGCTCCATCGCGAGCATTGGGGAAGGCGCGATTAATGAAGTTGCGGGTGGTGCAGCCGTGGCACGGAGGTTGGATTCGGGAGAACGCAGATAGAGGTGGACGAAGAGAGGTGATGTGGAAAGGTGACAAGGTGAAGAGGTTTGCTATCCGAGGGAATTCAACGGAATCCTGGAAAGCGTGAGATCCCTCACGAGGGGGTCCTCGCCTGCCCCCCCCCCAAAGCGGTCCTAGGCCCCCGTCCTTGGGCTCGCGGGGTTCTTATCGCGCCCTCAAGTGTCCAGGACCCGGAGGTCCTTAGCAGCCCCCAGTCTCAAGGTCTCGGGGGGGATCCTGATCCCTGGGTCCTTGAAAAGAGCCAATAATTCTCGGTTCCTCAGTTATGCAGGGGAGGGGGTCCTCGGAGTCTCAGCCTCGGGCTCCCTTACTCCTTCCTCGGGGCTCTTTGAGAGGTGGGGTGGTGAGGAGGTCTCGGGGTCTCGCGTGAGAGAGGTGAAGGGTGGTGAGGAGGTCTCGGGGTCTCGCGTGAGAGAGGTGAAGGGTGGTGAGGAGGTCTCGGGGTCTCGCGTGAGAGAGGTGAAGGGTGGTGAGGAGGTCTCGGGGTCTCGCGTGAGAGAGGTGAAGGGTGGTGAGGAGGTCTCGGGGTCTCGCGTGAGAGAGGTGAAGGGTGGTGAGGAGGTCTCGGGGTCTCGCGTGAGAGAGGTGAAGGGTGGTGAGGAGGTCTCGGGGTCTCGCGTTCCGCGTCTCGAGGGGCTCCTCAGGGAAGTCTCCGGGGAGGTTTTCACTCCGCGGTCTCTGTACTCCGAAGGCCTTCGGGGAATCCACGGAGCCGTCGGTGTCCTGGCTTTCTTCAGGGGTCCTGAACTCGGGGGGGAGGGGAGGAGGAGGAGGGGGGGGTAGGAGAGGGGGGTTCCAGTCCCGCAGTTGTGAGGGGTCCCGGGGGGGTCTCGTGGGGGTCTCCTCAGTCTCCTCTCCGCGGGAGAGCCGCGCGGCCTCCACGACTCACGGGGGCCGCCATGATTGCTGTATCCCGGCATGCACCTCGCGCGTGGAGGGAGGGGCGGGGGTGGCTGCGGGGGGGGGGGCGGATCAACGCGGTGTGACGTCGACACGACCGTTACCTCATTAGCATACACTCATACCATTAACATAATTGATTGCTATCTGTTACCGTTGTTAAAATGTACTTAGACTTTTATCTATTCCCATTCAATATTTTACGCCCCTGGATCTTTGCCAATAATTGTTGGCGGAAGGAGGAGGTAGATGCGAGTCGTGTTTTCCGGAGCGAGGCCCTGGGCAACTCCGGATGAAAAATATTTGTCACAAAAGTGAGCGATGATACGACTGAATCTTGACTTACAGCTTTCGTGACGACAGGAATTAATATTCTTGGGTATTTCGGTAAAGTCACGTAGATAGGTTCAAAGAAAATAATCAAAAACACATTCCTCCTGCAGAGGGAGCTGGTAGGAACGTTGGGTTGCTCGGTCAATGGCCTGCAGGGTCAACGGCGGCGTGGTGTATTCCGCAAATATGCCCGACTGTGAGGGCGGGCACAAGCCGGCGTGAGTAGGTGAAACGTTGAGTTTTATAAGGGCACCACGGGGTGACCAGCCCCTCCCCACCCAGCCCCACCCCTCCCACCCCCCACCCAGCCTCTCCCCACCCTCCCCACCCAGCCCCTCCCCACCCTGGCCTCCTCACCCAGCCCCACCTTCCCCACCCAGCCTCTCCCCACCCTCCCCACCCAGGCCCTCCCCACCCTGGCCTCCTCACCCAGCCCCACCCTCCCCACCCAGCCTCTCCCCACCCTCCCCACCCAGCGCCTCCCCACCCTGGCCTCCTCACCCAGCCCCACCTTCCCCACCCAGCCTCTCCCCACCCTCCTCACCCAGCCCCACCTTCCCCACCCAGCCCCACCCCTCCCACCCCCCACCCAGCCCCACCCTCCCTACCCAGCCCCTCCCCACCCTGGCCTCCTCACCCAGCCCCACCCTCCCCACCCAGCCCCTATCTAAGTGATAGGGTCATCAGTACTTTTTTCTTGCTGTAGTTGTCCCACCTGATGACGATTGCTTGTGTTGCGATCGAAACGTCGTGATCTATTAATGTTCTACCTACGTGACTTCACCGAGTATAATAAAGAGTATAAATGATGCTCGTTAACACCGCCTCAGTTCAAATGACGACAGCCGTTAACTTACAATTAGGGGCCGTCCATAAATGACGTCACGCACCTAGTGGGGGGTCAGAAATTTGTGACGATGTGTGACGAGGGGGGGGGGGGTGAGAAATGTGACGTCACATCAAAATGCGCAACTTTAAAGAAATATAGACAACACGTTCTACTTAATTAAATAGACTTTGTAATAAATGTTTTCTCCTACAACATCAGAGTGCAGCGCCACATTAAATACGCACTACAATGACAATAGTTTAAAGCGATTTGAAGCATGTTTTATTTTTTTGGGAGGGGGGGGGCAGAACTTTGTGACGTCATATTTGAGGGGGGGGGGTCTGACTTTTTGTGACGCCGTGTGACGAGTTGGGGGGGGTCAACAAATCTCAAAAATCGCGTGACGTCATTTATGGACGACCCCTTACACCGCGGTAATTAACGCGACATCTTGGTGAACATAATCACGGTGAACAAACTCAGCCTGTCCACCAGCACGGCAGACGCAAACATTGCCGTAATTAACATATCATTAGCATACTTAGCGTGCAATTTGCATGCTGAAATCAGGTGGACGTACATCGTCAGTGTCGCCTCTCGCAGATTATAAAATGAATACGCGTTTGGAATGATCACAGTTTAGATGATCGCTCATGTAATTTGGATGACGTTCAATGCATTTCACCATTCAATATCTTGAAACTGGCAAAAAGGTTTCCGTAGATACACATACTGTACCGTCTACCACGAAGCATTGACATTTTAACGTGATCAAGGTGAACATAATCCATCGTTTGACATCGGTATCATCACCATCGGAAGCATCAGCTGCATAGACATAGGCAGCCGTTTTACACAATTACACTGACGTCACCACTGGCATCGATAATGTGTTTTATTCATTAATGATTCCAACTTATTCATCATTCAAAATGAACACCGAGTAAGGGGGGGGAGAAGACGTGCCCCCCAAATCCCCCTCTTCCCTCCCTCCTTCCCTCCCTATAGGATCCCCCCTCTTCTTTAGTTATCTGACCCCCTCAACCACTCTCCCTCCTCTCTCCCCCTCCCCTTTTCTCCCTCCCTCCCTTCTTCCCTCCCCTCCCTGCCCACTTCTCCACGTCCATCCCTCTCGCCCCCCCTCCCTCCTCTTTCCCCTCCCTTTTACCTTCCCCCCTTTTCTCCCTCCCTTATTCCCTTCCCTGCCCTCCATGCCCACCTCTCTCTACGTCCCTCCCTCTCCCCTCCCTCCCCTCCCTTCCCTTTCACCCCCCCCCCTATTTTCCCTCCCTCCCTGCTCACCTCTGTACGTCCCTCCCTCCCCCTCCCCCTCTGACTCTCCCTCCCCACTTCTCTCCCTCCATCCGCATCCCTTCCCTGCCTTTCTCATTCCCGTCCTGCCCCCCTCCCTCCGCATCCCTCCCTCCCTTACCCACCCTGCTCCACCCCCCCCCCCCTATTTTCTCGCCACTCTTTCCTCTCTTCACCGATTCCCTTTTTGTGCCCCCCCCCCCCCAATTTTTTTTATTACAAATATTACATGGAAAACATAGGGGGAACATAGACATGGAGTAGGGAGAGAGGGGGGTGGGTAGAGAGAGGGGGTAGAGAGAGAGAGGGGAGGGGTAAGAAGGAGGAGCTTCCCGTCGGAGGCAGTTGGACTGCGAGAAGGGCTGCGTGCAGAACGAGTGAGCGAGAGAGTGAGCGAGAGAGTGAGCGAGAGAGTGAGCGAGAGAGTGAGCGAGAGGTGGGGGTTTACATAAAGCAAAGTAAAAAAAATAGGAAATGATGAACGAAGCAAAGTGCCGACTACACCGAGCATCTTCTTGTTTCCACTGATCGTAAAAAAGGAGGAGAGTAGAGCGTGAAATCTTTTGTTAAATCTTTCATTTAAAAAGGGTGGGGGGGGGGGTTACATAAAGCAAGGCATTAGAAAAACTAAATGATGAACGAAGCAAAGTGCCGACTATACCGAGCATCTTCTTTCTTTCTCTGATCGTAAAAAAAAGAGAGAGGGGGGTTAGCGAAGAGGCGGAGTGGAAGGTGGATGGGCAGGGTTGGAGGGGGGAGAGGGAAGGGGAAGGATCGCGGGCAGGGCAGAGGAGGGGGGAGGGGAGGTGAGGGGAGGAGAGGAGAGGGGAGGGGAGGGGAGGAGAGGAGAGGTGAGGGGAGGAGAGGGAGAGGTGAGGGGAGGAGAGGGGGAGGGGAGGAGAGGGGGGGGAGAGGGGAGGAGAGGAGATGGGAGGAGAGAGAGGGGAGGCGAGGGCGCGTCCGATCCCGCCCAAACCCCCCCACACCACTCTCTATTTAAGCGCCTTTGGATTCGCGGCATCTGGCGGAGTGAGCGCGCGGGCGAAATCGCGTCCCCACCTGCACACGGATCCGCTGCTGCACGCCTGCTCACCTGCTCACCTGCTCACCTGCACACCTGCACGCGACTAACACCTCCTGCGTGCATCCTCCCGCTCGCATTCACCGTGCACACCGCCTGGAGCCACGCGCGCCTCGACCAACGCGCACGCGTCCCGTTCATAGATTTCGTCACACCTGTCACGTCACTCATTCTGTCTCCGCGACATATCACCGCAGCGCGCGCGCGCGCGTGTGTGTGTGTGCATCTCTATATCTCGCTCTGTACATCATCTCTCGTATCTCCGCGCTATATTTATATTATCATCTTTATATCGGCTGTCGAACTCGCTCTCCTTCCCCTCGTCTCCTCTCTCACTTTGCGCTGCCCCCTTCCATCTCTCTGTCTCTCTCTCTCTATCTCCATCTTTCATAATTTCCCGTCTCTATCTCATCCTATCGCGTTTGATCCATATCCCATACACGCCGACCCGGCTCATCTACCTGTGTTTCCCCTCACCTCTACCCCATTTTTACCACTCAAATCTCCATCGCGTCTCATCCTCTAACCTTTATTTTCCCATCTCCTATCTCTTTCATCTCCCTCTATCTCTCTTCCTCGGCCATCTCCCTCGGCCATCTCCCTCTGACTCAACATTATTCTATCGCCGTCACTACTAATATCTCTCTCCCTCTAATCCTCATCTGTGCTGTAATCTCTCACGCAGCCTCATCTCCTCTGCCCTCTCCTCCTCTCAAACCCTCCCCTATCCCAGTGTCCTCTCATCTCCATTTCTCTCCACAATCTCCCATCTCTCTCTCTCTCTACCTCAGTCTCCTCCGACTACCTCGGATCTGTCACCTCCACCTGCCCCTCAATTTCCCTGCATCCCATCATCTCCTGTCTTCTCTTTCTCAACATCTCCTAACCTGCTCCTCATCCTCTCTGCTCCATCTCTCCATCTAAATCCATCGTCGAACCTCCTCACCCCCCCCACCCCCCTGCGTCACCCCCATGGGAGGTCATCCCCGTGTCCCGCGCATCGCGGGCGGCCCCTCCCGGGTCCTGCTCTGCCTCGTCTCTCTTGGGGTCGTGGCCACCGTGGTACCGGGGGGAAGCAGCCCAGCGGTGGCTTCCAAGGTCGCGCCGAGGGCAGCTGACCCCGCGCGCGTCCATCCTGAACCTCAGCAGCAACCGCAGCGCTTCGTGTGCACCGCCATGCCCGTGGAGATGGACAACATCCCTTGTGCTGCTCCAACATCCTGGATGGCCTCCAACATTGGTACCTTCTCCCCGCCATCATCGTCATCATCGTCGTCTTCGTCATTGTCGTCATCGTCATCATCAGCCATCGGCTCGCATCTCCGCGAGATCGTGAGGCAGCACAAGGAGACCATCTCTCGCCAGCGGGAAGCCATCAAGGAGCTCACGACCAAGTTGAGTCGCTGCGAGTCCGGAGGCCACAGGGGATCGGCGGGACTGCGCAAGGGCCAGCCGCAGCCGCAGCAGCAGCAGCAGGAGGAGGAGGCGACGGGGTTGGCGGGCAGCAGGCACGCGGAGCTCGAGGGAGCTGCGGGGATGAGGAATACCATGGGAGACCCTCCGCGAGATTCGACCGAGATGTTGGAGGAGCTGGGAAAGACCACACAGGCGCTCAAGGACAGGCTGGAGCACCTGGAGGTAGCTACCTCCCTGTGTGAGACTGCGCACGTGTACGTGTGTGTGAACCTAGTCCGCGGGGAGCGGCAGTGCAGTGGTTCGTGCGCAGCGCTGCGAACCCGGTGGACCGAGTTCGATTCCCGCTCACGGCCAACACCGTCCCACCCATCGTGTGCAGTGCCGGTCCCTCAGACGTGCTACTCGCTAACAGCACTTGCCTCAACAGTCTGTTAAGGCTATTTGGGGGGCCTTTGCCTTTGAATCTAGTCCTGGGCCTCCCTTAGGTTGGCTCAGCCTTTAATGAGCACAGTACCTGGTGCGGTATGTAAGCATCAGCATTAGATAGACAAAGGCGGCCGGGCGTGGTGCTGGCCATCTACCCCTTCGTGTGTCGTGCCGGCCTTTGTAGGTGCTACTCGCTAACAGCACTTGCCCCAACAGTCTGTTTGGGGTATCTTTGTCTCTGTCTGTGGTCGCGGCTACCTACTTTCTACCTGCAGGTGTGGCAGGTAGCCACAGCTGTATACTCTACTGCTCTTTTTCAGAAGCGACCTGGCCACAAATGATAGCTCAACGAAGTGGCTTCTCATCACCACGTGGACATTCAACGCAGCCAGGGCCCAGAGTTCAGATCCTTTGTCGGATAAGCTCATCATCATCATCATCCTTCACAGGTCGCATAAATAGAATAGCACTTGGTGGGAACTCAACAGACAAGTGGCCATCATCATCATCACATGAATACACTGGGGGGGGGCGTCATGAGCGTGTGGAATTTCCACCGCTGGTTCAGTGTCGATATGAGCAACCGTCCCGATGCACATTTGAGCACAGAGAGAAAGCGAGAGACAGAGTTCCACTTTCCGGGCTGTTCCCCACTGATTCACGTATTGGCGGCACACCGTAGGTACACGTGGTTTAAATAAAATACAAACTTTTTGTCGCAATAATTTTTTTTTATTTCCCGCGATTTGCAACTCCGGTCAGAAAACCTTGCGGGGTGGTGGTGGCGCTTCAAAATCGGTTCTCGCGATGTCGAAGCAGCCGAAAGACGCAATGCCCGTTGAATATTTCGCTTTTATAACCGTTTGATGGGGACCGGCGTGTCATGCTGCACCGGTGTACCGCCGGCAACACGTCCGCTGCCTCCACAGTGCAAGAGTGCGTGCAGCAGCAGCCGCAGCAGCAGTAGCAGCAGCATCAGCAGCATCAGCATCAGCAGCCACCGTGTTCGTTGCTGAAGTTCAGCGCTGGACAGCTCCGGCTGCAATGAGGCCCCAGTGCCGTGTACGCGTTCGCGTTGCAGTCGGACGCGCTGCCTTTGCAATCTTTTTTTTTACGATCAGTGGAAACAAGAAGATGCTCGGTGTAGTCGGCACTTTGCTTCGTTCATCATTTCGTTAAAAAAATGTAATTAAAACTTTGCTTTATGTAAAACCCCCACCTCTCGCTCACTCTTTCGCTCACTCTCTCGCTCACTCTCTCGGTCACTCTCTCGCTCACTCTTTTTTTTTACGATCAGTGGAAACAAGAAGATGCTCGGTGTATTCGGCACTTTGCTTCGTTCATCATTTCTTAATTTATTTTTTTAACTTTGCTTTATGTAAAACCCCCACCTCTCGCTCACTCTCTCGCTCACTCTTTCGCTCACTCTTTCGCTCACTCTCTCGCTCTCTCTCGTTCTGCACGCATCCGACGGTCACGGTAGAGCGGTGGGTTCTCAAACCTGGGGGTGCACGCAGCCCCTGGGAGTGCGAAATGCCCTTTCTGGGGGGTGGCATGAGATATGGTCAGATGTTGTTGTGAGAAGGTAAATAATCAAAACACAAATTAAGCACGGTGCACGAACGTACAACGTACTTTGTTTCATCAAACCCGACGTGTATGTATTAGCATTGTACGTCTAACATTATACGCTTGAGCACCAAAGGGGTGCAAGGCTGCAGTAAAGGTGAAGAACCGCTGCGTTAGAGGAAGTGGTTGATCACTCGCTAAATCGCTGTGTAGCCAGCGATTCAGTTCTCATGGGATGTGTAATTATTTACCGGGATTCTAGAACCTCCTCCAAACGCAACCCCGCACGTCTTCTCCCCGGGGAAGTATTTTCCTGAGCTCAGCCCCGGGCAGCTCCGTCTGCAGTGAACCCCTGCGAGGCCACTTCCGTAGCCTCGTGTGCTTGCTCATCTTGGCTTCACATTGTGTTCACATTGTGTTCACATTGCGCTCACCCCCTTACTCTCTCTCTCTCTCTGCCCCCTCCTGTTTCTCTCTGCCCTCCACCTTCCCCTTTTACTCTCTATCACCTCCCCCCCCTGTTATCCTCTGCCCCCCCTCCCCATTTCTCTCTGCCCCTCCCCCCTTCCTCTCTGCCCCCCTTCCTCTCTGCCCCCCCCCCGCCCCGTTCCTCTCGACCCCATTCCTCTATACTGCCCCCCCCCTTCCTCTCTGCCCCCCCCGCCCCGTTCCTCTCGACCCCATTCCTCTATACTGCCCCCTTCCTCTCTACCCCCCCCCCCCCATTCCTCTCTGCCCCCCCTTCCTCTCTGCCCCCCCCCCTTCCTCTTTGCCTCCCCGCCCCGTTCCTCTCTACCCCCCCTTCCCCTACCCTGCACCCCCCACCGTTCCTTTCTGCCCCCTCTCCCTCCGACCCGTTCCTCTCTACCCCCCATCCCCCTACCCCGCACCCCCCCGTTCCTCTCTGCCCCCCCCCACCCAGACGCACGCGGCACCGGGCCGCACCGATTGGGCGACGGCCGCGCGCGACGCCGTGCGCGAGCTGCTGGAGTCGCGCGCGCTCGAGCTCACGGGGAACCGCACTGCGCATGCGCGGATCGACAAAGCCCTCGGAGAGCTGAGACACCGGATTGCAGGCATCGAGAAGGGTGGGGGAGGGGCCGCGGGGGAGGGGCAGGGGGGAGGGTGGGGGGGCAGTGAGAAGGGGGTGGAGGGGTAGGGGGAGGGGAGGGGGTTGGGGGTGGAGGGAGGCGTGGATTGATGGGTGAGTGGAGGGGGGCAGGTGACGGGGGAAGGGGCCATCCATTGAGTCCGTACGCACGGAGGGGGTAGGGGGGGTTAACCCAAATGCGTTCGCTTGCGTATGGGGGGGGGGGGTCTACTGACAATGTACGCATAGGAAACGGGGGGGGGGGGATGAAGCCTCGATAATAATGTGTCTACATTGGCCTTTAAATGAGTTAGATACGCCGGCGGTGGACTATCTGTTTGCTTAAACACGTTAATATGATTCATCCTTGATCGTTTCTGCGTGGATTAAATTTCGGCCGTTCTATAGGATTCGGGGGGAGGGGGGGGGGGTGTAAAAAGTCCGCGTGCGTACAGGGAGGGGGGGAGGGGTCAAGTTTTGACACATTTTTTGCGCACCTACTAAATGTATGGAGGGGTGAGAAGGGAGGAGTGGAGATGGGGAGGGGTTCTGGGTGGAGGGGACGTGAAGTGTGAATGGGGGGGGGGAGTGAAGGGGGCAGGAATAGAGTGGGGGGGAGAGGAGTAGGAGGGATGGACATAACGGGGGGGGGGGGGGTTAGGTGGTGGAGAGGGGTTGAGGGGTGAGTAGAGAGGGAGAGGAGGAGGGAGGAGGGGAGGAGGGAGGAGGATGGAGGAGGGAGGAGGGAGGGGAGGAGGAGGGAGGAGGGGTGGAGGGAGGAGGGGAGGGACTCATTGAAGAGCGAGCATCGCAGACGGGTGATGGGAAAGATGAGAGATGGAACGGGGCGAGCGAGCGAGGGATCGAGCAAGCGAATCACGCCGTCAGTGCGGAGTGCACTTCGTCAACTCAGCCTGCCCGCCCTCCCCCAGGGTTCGCAGCAGGAGCTCCCCTCTCCGCTCTTTCTCGTGCTGCAGTTGTGCAACGGCGCGCCACGAGTTTTTATCTCGTGGTGGCAGGGGCTGCTGGGAATACAACGGTGGCTATGCGATGTTAACCTACCTCGCCTGGTCTACAGGAGGCAGTGGGTTTAATCCCGACCCTGACGATGCCAGCTGTATATTTTGAGTTTGCGTGTCTGTCTCTCTCTCCCCGTGGCTATGCGATGTTAACCACCTCGCCTGGTATACAGGAGGCAGTGGGTTCAATCCCGACCCTGACGCCTGCTCCATATTTGCAACGTGCATATTCTCTCCCCCGTCGGTCGCGGTGGATTTTTCTCTGGGTCCTCCGGGTTTTTCCCCTCCAACATTTAGAATCACGCGTTTAGACTACTGTATTTGGCCCCCCGCTATGAGTGTCCACGTGATGGTAAGCCAACTTCGTTGAGCTATCACTCGTGATAACCAGGTCGCTTCTGAATAAGTATAACCCGTAAAAACAACGTTTTTCACTATAAATCCTTTATATGCGTGGCGGCGAGAGTCCTCTCGTCCTCTGGCTTGAGATGGCTGCCACCTATGGGTCAGATGATTGTGTGCCAGCATTAACCAATTGGTAAATAAATATTTTAAAAAAACGACCGAAAGATTTGCACGGTCCTAAGCAAGCAAGCAAGCGAACTTAATATAAAGGATTTAAAAAAGAGCTGGATATCTCAGTGGGCCTTACCTGGTAAAACATTTTAAAATAACAATACAAATAACCTGTGACCCTGCCCCATTGACCCTGCCGCGGTGATTCTATCTACCCCAGTGAATCCGACCGACCGAGTCAACACTGAACGCTTTGGGAGAACGTTGTGAGAGCACGATGACCTGCAACCGCTTGCCAATGTTGATCCGCGACATTGCGTGTTTACTTCGGCAGCGACCGTGCCCACAGTTAACCCCACCCAGTGACCCTGACCACGACCCCCATAAAGATAAAGACCCCCCCCCCACCCCCGTATAGCCTTAACACACTGTTGGGGCAAGTGCTGTCAGCGAGCACCTATGAAGGCCGGCACGGCACACGAGGGACTGGGTGACCACCATCACGCCCGGCCGGCCTTTGTCTCCCGAGCGGCGATGTTTAACACACAGCGCCAGGTACTCAATTTGATGCTGAGTCGACCTAGAGGAGGCCCAGACAATCGTCACTTGGTCGCTGGTGGCCGTGAGCGGGGAATCCAACTCGGGGCCGCCGGGTTTATATGGCGCAGCGCGCTGACCGCCACCACCACCATCACCACCACCACCCCACCACCACCATCACCACCACCCCCACCATCACCACCATCATCACCACCACCATCACCACCATCACCACCACCCCCACCACCCCCACCACCATCATCATCACCACCATCACCATCACCACCATCACCACCACCGCTCCCAAACCCCGCCGTGCAGGTGTCGACGTTGACGCGGCTGCGCCACCAGCGCCACCAGCGCCACCGCCGGACGCCTTCAAGGTGTCGTTCCCGCTGCGCACCGACTACATGGTGGCTCGGGCCGCCGCCTCGCTGCCCGAGATGCACGCGTTCAGCGCCAGCCTCTGGCTGCGCTCCTCGGCGTCGGGCGGCGTGGGCACGCCGCTGTCGTACGCCGTGCCGCGCCAGTCCAACGAGATCGTGCTCATGGAGTGGGGCCACAACCCCGTGGAGCTGCTCGTCAACGACAAGGTGACAGAGAGAGTGCGAGTGCGAGAGAGAGAGAGCGCGAGAGAGAGAGTGCGAGAGAGTGAGAGAGTGCGAGAGAGAGAGTGCGAGAGAGAGAGAGAGTGCGAGAGAGAGAGAGAGACTTGACTTTGAAAACCCTTATTACTCCAGCGCAAATTGCGCTGGAAAGTTTCCGTGCAATCAAAACAATGTACATGCCTTTCTGGTGACATCATACACATCACTTATTGTCACGCAACACATCGCCACCGCATCGCAGTCAATGTCCGGTGTGCGCGTCGTTCAGGTTCCGGCGCAGATTTCACTGCAAAAATTCCAGGTGCATTGGGTGTGATCATCTCACGGCAACACCGAGCACCGCCCAGCCATCGCGCACCACATCGCCACCGCCTCACAGTCAGTGTCCGGTGTGCGAGATGTCCAGGCATTCACGGTCCCTTGCCTAAATCACCGACCCTCCCTCCCCCACATCTTCACCCTCCATCTCAACCGACGACAGCGATGATGGTGGTGGCGTCTTCAAGGCCCCCAAGGCCTCGGGCGGGAAGGGGGTGGTGGGTGGGGGTGAGGGCTGTTTCTGGACTTTGCTCATCAGCGCTTTCACCCGGAACATCTCCTGGCGGCTGTATCCATACCTGCTCGGGTCTTGGACGACGCGCCGAGCCACGCTCATAAAGTTTCCCCTATTGGGCAAGCTGTTCCGCACTCGAATATTACGTCTCCCCTTGGACCATCTAAGAAAACCGAGAAGGTATTCGGGAGAGCACCCCCAGTTCTTCATGGGAGGCCAGGTCTCCGGCCTTTCCGCCTGCGGATCGCTATCGACCCCCCATATCTTGGCTCCCACCTCCTCCTTCTTCTTGTAGTCGTCAAGCATTCCTAAGTCGTCTGTCAACGTCATCGCGCGATCGGCCTCCATCTCGCTGTAGTCGTACCTGTGTGGATTGAAGAAACCCCTCATGGCCGCCCTCGCAAAGGCGCGCCTATCGGGGAAGGCTTTGTATAGCTCTCTCAACATGCTCCCTGTTTTTCCCTTTTGCATCATCCTTATCCAAGCAAGGACGGTTTTCGGCGTGCACTCTCCCGGCTTAGGCTGATTCCTCCAACCTCCAAGCTTCTGGGGGTACTTCGCCCTGTCCAAATCATCCTCCAAGTCATCGCCATAAGCTTTCCCGTCGGCGCCAACCCACCCTCCGGTATCTGCCGACGTTCCGGGAATGGGGACCTCACCAGGCTCCGTCCCGAGTGCAGGCAACCTCCTCCAGCCCTTCGGTCTCTTGAACCGTTCCGTGGCGGGGGGGGGGTGCCTTTAAAGGGTACAAAATCGCGCGACACCCAGCTTGCATCTGCAACGACCAACGCTCCTGCTCCAGACGTCGTCTGCGAGGCTGGAGTCGAGATCGGCCGTTGCGCCCCCTTGGTCGTCACCACCAGGCGCGCGATGCTGCCGCTGCTGCTGCTGCTGTCGGCCTCCATCGTTCCTCCTTCACCATCCACTGAGCAGCCGATCCGCTCGGTGGCACTTTCCTCATCAGTTGCCTCGGGCTCCGCACTCCCTTCCCCGTCATCCATCAGGGTAGATGAGGGGGGGGGGGGGCCTCCGAGCTGTAGCACCGCACAGCACAGAGCCTGCACTGGCGGTGGTCGGCGACCCTTCTCTCCTGTCGCCGCGGTGAGCGAGGTCCGCCTCGGCGATCGTGTTCCCGGCTCGATCACGTTCGCCGGGTGCGCGTCGTCAGAGGTTTCCCCGACCCCCTCCCCCGGCTTCACCGAGGGTAGCCCCTTCCTCTTCGGATTTCTTCGACCTCTTCCCGCCACCACTCGGGGCGGATGAAGGGGCACTCCTTGGAGCGAGGGTACCGCTTGGCACGCCGACGGCGTCGGCGGCAGCCTCCGTCTCCCCTCTTTGCCGTGCTGGAACGGGCGAGGCCGGAATCGGTCGGGGCGCTCCTCCCGTCGTCACTGACATGTGCGCCTCGCTGGCAATCACCATGGCCTCCCCTCCGTTATCCGCCGAGCAGCTGGTCCGTTCGGCGGCACTTTCCTCCCCGATCACGTCGGGCTCCACGCTCCCCTCTCGGTCCCCCGTCGGGCCGTGCGAAGGGTGGCTTCCCGGAGCTGCGCCGTCGCTCGGCACCACGCTGGCGCTGGCGGCAGCTGCTGCTGGCTTCTCTCCTTCCATCGCCGGGGTGGGTGGGGCCGGGCTCGGCAACCGCGTCCTCGGCTCGATCGCCTCCGCCGAGTCCGCGTTGTCAGTGGCCTCCGCAGCTTCCCTCCCCGTGCACTCCACACCGCCGGCCGGCCGCTCGATGTCGTCGGCTGTGGCTGGCCTCTTGAGCTGCTCCGTCAGCCCGTTTCCGCGCCTCCTCCTCTTCCTCCTGGCGCTCTTAATGACGGCAGCCCCATTGCTGTCGGCTCCCTCGTGAGGATCCGACTCCCCGTGCATCGGCACGGACTCGGCACCACTACTCTGCAGCTGTTGTTCCCGCTGCAGTGGCGGCACCTGTGGTGGCTGCTGCTGCTCACGCTGCTGCTGCTGGCCCTGCAGCTGCTGCTGCTGCTGGCCCTGCTGCTGCTGCTGTTGCTCCTGCTGCGGTGACGCCTGCAACAGGTGCTCACGCTGCTGTTGCTGCTCACGCTGCTGTTGCTGCTCACGCTGCTGTTGCTGCTCACGCTGCGGCTGCTGCTGCTGCTGTTTTTGTTGCAGCACCAGCGTTGTCTCCGTCGTTGCAGTTCCACTCGGCTTTGTTCCGGTGGAGCAGTTTTTTTTTCAGACGCGTAGCAGCGTGGCTCGGCCGTGGCCAGGTATATCGTGTGGACGCGGCCGCCAGCAGTGCGTTTGATGGCCACATCCAGCTCGGTACTCCCACTTTTAAGCACGAGGAACGCCTGCCGTTGGCCTGACAAAACGTGCCTCAGCTCCCTCCGTTGTGTTTTTATATGCAGCAGGACGATGGGCGATACCACGACGCCGTAGCGTTGCAGTTCCACCCTTAGCTCTGCGTTCGTCAAGTATGGTGGCGCGCCGGAGATGGTCACCCGAACAGCCGGTGTGGAGAGCGGGCTGCATTGCACGAGCAGCCATACCTCCCCCCCCGACGCTGAGCCCCCTCTCGACGACGCGCGCCGCCGCCTCCACCGTGGCCACGTAAACCACGTAGCCACGATTCTCCCTCTCGATTACTCGGATGGCCGCCGGCCCGGTGTGCGCCGCCACCGCCTCAGCAACGCCGTCAAGCGACGTCCCCAGCGCAGGGAAGCAGTGAAACCCGTGCCGATCCGTGAGGGCCTCCATGCTGCCGGGCTGAGCCATGGTGTTTGCATGGCAGCAGCGCAGTGGCAGCGGAAAATAATCGTAGAAAAAAAAAGTGATAAAAAAGTAATAACCCCCACACAAAACAAACACACAATAACACACAACCACGCAAACTACCAGCCAGACAGACGAACAAACAAAAACAACAAACACACAAACAGACAAACACACCAGCCACACCACATCGACCACACCACACCAACCAGCCGACAGAACAAACAAAAGAAAAGGACGATCAAACAAAGACGACAGACAAACGAACAACCGCACAGACAAACACACAGACAAACAACAGCAGTATTAAAACTGCTATTATCACAAGCCAATACACGCGAAAGAAAAATCGCAGGTACACCTCTCTCTAGGCCAGGCTCAGGCTCTCACCTGAGCCCAGAGAGTGCGAGAGAGAGAGAGAGCGGCGCGCGGTGGCCAGAATGGTTGCGCGTGTTGAACGACTTTCGCCACCCGGACGTGGCCAACCGCGCTCATCGGAGTTGCGGGCGGGGGGGGGCAACAAAAACTCACGCACGAAAAGGAGCTGCAAAGGGATGAGATTTCAGTCGAGGTGGCCGGAATTTTGGGGGTGGATGGATAAAACGGCAGACAAAGGACGCAAAATAAAGACCCCCCCCCCCCGTGTAGCCTTTAAAGTCTTTCGGGGCAAGTGATGTGAGTGAGTAGCACTTATGAAGACCATGTCACCTGTGCTGATCCATGCCACCTGTGCTCCCATTCACCCCACCCCTCCCCACCCCCTGCCCCTTCCCCACCCCTGCCCCTTCCCCTGTATATGGCCACCTACGTAACCTCTGCCCCCCCTTCGCCCCCCCCATCCCCCCACCCAACAAAAGATGGCTCAGCTACCGCTGTCGCTGAACGACGGCCGGTGGCACCACGTGGTGGTGACCTGGACGTCGCGGGACGGGGTGTGGGAGGCCTTCCAGGACGGCGCCCTGCGTGGCACGGGCGACGCCCTCGCGCCGTGGCACCCCATCACGCCCGGCGGGGTGCTCGTGCTGGGACAGGAACAGGTCAGGGGCGGTCACCGGATCACCAGGTCACCGGGTCACCGGGTCACCAAGTCACCAGGTCACCAGATCACCGGGTCACCAGGTCACCAGGTCACGAGGTCACCGGGTGACCAGGTCAACGTCATCACGGTCATCGTTTTCTCTCCTTCGTCTCGTATTGCATTCGAAAGGAAGCCGGCAGGGCCAGTGCCAGATTAAGCTAGTGCGTGGCCTGTTGTATATGTTATGAAGGGGCCTTAAATAAATAAATACGTAAATATGAAAACGCACATTTTATATGTGCATTGTGAAGCTATTGTATGTTTTCATTTGCTATGAAGCCAAATAATACGACAAATCGCTAACCTTAAACACTCAGTTGTTCGTAAAAGTTGAAGGCGGTATAGTACTGTGGTAATAGAGCAAGTGCAGAATCACTGGACCGGAATTGATAGCTTGAAAGCATTTAGCGCGGGGCCCTTGAAAGTGCGGGGCCCGTAGCCACTACATATGTAGCTACTGCATATGTAGCTACTGCATATGTAGCTACTACATATGTAGCTACTACATATGTAGCTACTACATATGTCGATACTTTTGCTACCAGGATAATCCAGCTACTGGGTAGGGTATTACAGCTGGCTGTGTCTGCGTGTTTCGAGTCGGGGGTCATCCATCCGGTGGTAGCCAGGAGTAGCTTGGGGCCCCACGTGAAGGGCCGCACTGAAGGCCACCGAGGGGCCGTCAGTGGCCCGCGGGCCTTGCAATGAAGAACACTGTGCGAGAGTATTTATAGTATGCGAACAGACGCACACACAGAACAACTCGTCTATCGTGGCGCCGGATATAGTCCGTGTGGTCCTGTGTCAGGACAAGGCCAGGTGGCTCATCAGTAGAGCTAGCGGCTCGCGATCGGGAGGTTGACAGTTAGACTGAGCTCATCACCCCTCCAGGGTCGATAAAATAATTTACAGTCGTCCCTTAATTTACGATCGTTCGGGGTGACGAAATTTTGCGTTAACGCAATTTCACAAATTTCAGACGCTTTTCCATTAACGGAATCGAATTTCCACGCGAGCGAAATTTCACTCTGGCCACGCGCTACACCGCAGGGCTCGGCAATCAAAATAACAAGAAGGGCCTTTGTTTTTCCGAATTTGATAATAAACGCAATATTGCAAGAGCCGCAATGCCGCGTGGTGAATGCGAGACGGTGGGTCCTTAATAAATGACGTCACGAAGCGGTTCCTTAAAGAGCCGCATGCGGCTCCGGAACCGCAGGTTGCCCACCCTTGCTCATGGTAAACTGGACTCCCATGGTAAACTGGACTCCCATGGTAAACTGGACTCCCATGGTAAACTGGACTTCCGTGGTAAACTGGACTCCCATGGTAAACTGGACTTCCGTGGTGAATTGGACTTCCGTGGTAAACTGGACTCCAATGGTGAAATGGACTTCCGTGGTAAACTGTACTCCCATGGCGAACTGGAATTCCATGATAAACTGGACTACCATGCTAAACTGGACTCCCATGGTGGACTGGACTCCCATGGTGAACTGGACTCCCATGGTGAACTGGACTCCCATGGTGGACTGGACTCCCATGGTGAACTGGACTCCCATGGTGAACTGGACTCCCATGCTGAACTGGACTTCCGTGGTCAGGGGTCTGCAACCCAACCAACAAGAAGAAGAAGAGACTTGTATTTTGTAGAGCCGCACTGCGGCCCTTAGAGAGCCACGTGGAGCTCCAGAGAGGCAGGTTGCCCTGCACCAGAGGTCGCAAACTGGGGTTTGATTTCTTACTCGTACCCGGCCGCACCAAGGTCGCAAACGGGTACCCTACCCGTACCTTACCCGATATCCGGCTACCCGTACCCGGCTGGGTATCGGGTAGGGTACGGGTATCAGGTACCCGATTGCGACCTCTGGGTTGAAGCCATGTTGCAGGCGGGGGTGGGTTGATTCTAGGAACTTGAATTGTGAGAAGAGACAAGACGTTGGGAAATGAGTGACAAACGGTGACTCACCAGTGACTCACGACCTACCCGTACCCGGCCACACCAGGGTCGCAAGCGGGTACCCGTACCCGGCCGGGTACGCGTAGCCGGGTATCGGGTAGGGTACGGGTATCGGGTACCCGATTGCGACCTCTGGCCTGCACCCTGCTGCTGTGCAACAGTAAACGCCTTCACCGTTCAAGCCATGCCAACTTGCACCTCTTTTTTGGCGAGTTCCCTGAAAAGGTGAATTATTTTGGCTTTTAATTAATGATTCAATCGCTTTAATGTTCATGTTAAATCTTGACTTAAAGTTTTCGTGCCTGCAGGAATTCATATTCTTTGGGTCTTTCGGTAAAGTGGCGTAAAACAAATTTTTTTTGTTACAAAGATTAATGTTCTTTATTATTATTATTGTACAGTGAACAATTATATAGGTGTATATTTTTAGGATATTAATACTGTAGAGTTGACATGACTGTCCGAAACACACCCCTCATTTTCATTATTAAATTAATGGAAAAATCCGTTCCTATGTACGACATTTCGTTTAACGCGTTTTTTTTTAAAGAACACATCCATTTCGTAAATCGAGGCATTCCAGTACCACTCTGTGTGGAAGTCCGACAACTCCGTTTACCATATGGATAGACTCACTTCCCCTGTCATAGGAACGAGGAATCTCCACCCACTGGCTCTGCAAACAGGCTTATGCACTCTTCCAACTCTGTACACGGTTTGGAGGGAGAGTGGGAAAAAATACGAGTTTTTAACTTCCTCTTCAACTGCGATTGATTTTCCGAGCGAATGAGATGATCAAGGAACGGGGGGGTGAGGGGGGGGCGTTAAGGGTCACGGGTTCAGGGCCAAGGTTCAGGTTGGGGTTGGTAGTCGGTGGGGAGTGGGAATGACGGTGGCATCAGCAATGAGGCGAGGAATGACGGTGGCATCAGCAATGAGGCGAGGACCTTTGAGTTGCTATCCTCTCAGCGGTCGGAACTCTCTTTCAAGTCCCATCAAGAATGCAGCTGACGTAAAATAACATTTTAAATCGAATAAAAATTTTTTTTAAGCGGGATTGATTGGGCAATGTGCTTTGAGTGTGTTTTTGCTCCGACTATAAAGCACCCCCGAGATGTGTGTTCTGCATGGATAAAATGTAATTGCTTTGTATTCATATCTGTTCAGCTTCAGTTTTCAGTTACATTTATTAGGTGTAGCCCTGTGAGCCTATTCGGCTCTTGAATCGGGTGCAACCGCAACAAACAAAAACATGAACAAGAAACATCTTAAAGTGACTAAGTGCAAACTAAAATCCAGGAAAAAACAGCAAAGTCTTCCAGAAAAAGCACCGTATATCAATGTTGTGTGCAAAAATCCCAGTGGGATGCAAGTCAAACAATAACAACCATAAGACAATTTAGATTAATGTTATCAGTCTAACTCTGTACTACAACAAACAAATATGGCTAAACCAAAACGTTTTCGAAATCACCAAAATATAGCTATACAAGCAATGTAACATTTATCATAGGAAATGTGATTGAAATTTTACAATAAACGATATACATAATATGTACTACCAAACTTTGCAGCCATAGCTGGCTGCATGAGTCACTCCATAACAGCAGGAGTATCAGTAGGAGTATCAACATTTTTCAACGCACCTTTATTCAAGCAGTGGCTTACAACCGCATCGGAGACATTGGACTAATAAAGTATAGTCTGAATATGCTCTAATGCTAACTCCTGGGATTTACAACAAATTACACTACTTTTATCTGACCAACAATATATTATCCCAACCCTGGGATTCTTAATTGCAGCCACAGGAAAGTCGGAAAGACGGCGACAGACTTGTTCTTTACCTGAGGACGGCTGCTTGCGTTGTGGCCGAAACGTCGTGAGAATTATTTTATTGTTTTATTTTTATTACTTTATTATTTCCCTTCTACGTGACTTTACCGAAAGAACCAAGAAGATGAATCCCTGCAGTCACGAAAGCTTTAAATCGAATTTCTGATTCTGTTTCCTTACCCCCCGCTGCCCGCATCCGCCACAGGACAAGATGGGTGGTCGTTTCGACGCAATGCAGGCCTTTGTCGGCGAGTTGGCCGACCTACAGATGTGGAACCGCGTCCTCTCGGCCTCCGAGGTGGCCTCCCTGGCCGGCTGCTCCAGCGGCCTACGCGGCAACGTCCTGGCCTGGAGCCACGAGTCCATCGAGGTCCAGGGCGGCGCCACCAAGTGGCCGCTCGAGACGTGTGGCGAGAGGATCAACTCGTGATGGCGGTGGCCCGTCGTCGAGGTCGTCGTCATCGTCATCGTCGTCGTCGAGATGGTTGTCATCGTCGAGATGGTCGTCATCATTGTCGTCGTCGAGATCGTCGTCATCGTCGTCGTCATCAACGTCGTCGTGATGGTCGTCATCATCATCATCATCGTCGTCATCGTCGTCATCATCAACGTCGTTGAGATGGTCGTCATCATTATCATCGTCGTCATCGTCGTCATCATCAACGTCGTTGAGATGGTCGTCGTCGTCGAGATGGTCGTCATCATTGTCGTCGTCGAGGTCGTCGTCATCGTCGTCGTCATCGTCGTCGTCGTCGTCGAGATGGTCGTCGTCGTCGAGATGGTCGTCATCGTCGAGATGGTCTTCATCGTCGTCGAGGTCGTCGTCGAGGTCGTTGTCGTCGTCGTCTAGATGGTCGTCATCGTCGAGATGGTCGTCATCATTGTCGTCGTCGAGATCGTCGTCATCAACGTCGTCGTGATGGTCGTCATTATTATCATCGTCGTCATCATCAACGTCGTTGAGATGGTCGTCATCATCATCGTCGTCGAGATGGTCGTCATCATCATCATCATCGTCGTCATCGTCGTCATCATCAACGTCGTTGAGATGGTCGTCATCATTATCATCGTCGTCATCGTCGTCATCATCAACGTCGTTGAGATGGTCGTCGTCGTCGAGATGGTCGTCATCATTGTCGTCGTCGAGGTCGTCGTCATCGTCGTCGTCATCGTCGTCGTCGTCGTCGAGATGGTCGTCGTCGTCGAGATGGTCGTCATCGTCGAGATGGTCTTCATCGTCGTCGAGGTCGTCGTCGAGGTCGTTGTCGTCGTCGTCTAGATGGTCGTCATCGTCGAGATGGTCGTCATCATTGTCGTCGTCGAGATCGTCGTCATCAACGTCGTCGTGATGGTCGTCATTATTATCATCGTCGTCATCATCAACGTCGTTGAGATGGTCGTCATCATCATCGTCGTCGAGATGGTCGTCATCATCATCATCATCGTCGAGATGGTCATCATCATTGTCGTCGTCGAGATCGTCGTCATCATTGTCGAGATCGTCGGGTCATGGACAGTGTCATTATTGTCGTGGGAATCCTCAAGGTCACCATAATCGCCGTCATTGACTGTTTTATTAACAGACGTTTATCTGTTACACGTACGGAGATAAGTTTCGAATGTAATTCATCTCGCATTGATTTTTGCTGCCATTCGAATCGACTAAACACGCCCCAGCCACGTGTACTTTGTAACCATGGATACGCCACGCACTGCCAATCAATGCCGCTGTGCGTGTACATTTAATGAAAGCCGGCCTCTGTACGAAGCAACAAACTCGTAACGTCAATCCAATTCGCAAATTTCCCCCCACATGTCATTGTAAACGTAGCCAGTTAATCCTTAACGAGGTCATCATCTTCATCATGGTCGCAGTCTCTCAACCACCGCCATCATCGTCATGAAGGTAAGCATGTCTTGCCGAGGTCAAGTCGTGGATGCACCTAAACTTTCTTAAATTAAACTGTGACACGACGGGGATTGTGTTGGGCTCTCCGCGTGTGAAGTATTGAGTAGCCCACGTATGTAATATGATCAAAATCGCGTTTTTTCGTCCACGTAACATATCTCCATCTCATCCGAAGACCTACATTGTCCCTTCCTGATGCGGAGGGATGGTGCATGCCTTTATTTCATCTCGGTTGGATTACCGTAATGCCTTGTTTGCTGGCGTTTCTAAAAGTGTTTTTAAATAGATTACAATACATTCAAAACTCAGCTGCCAGGGATTTAACCAGATTCATATCGTATGACCGTATTACTCAGATTCTCTCGTTCCTGCACAGTGCAGAAATCGCCTTCAATATTGTGCTTCTCGCGTTTAAGGCCTTGCATGGGCCGGCTCCCAAATATCTCGCCGGTCTGCTCGAGTTTTATACAGCACTGCGAAAACTTACATCAGCTGATTCTGGTCGAGTCGTCATTCCAAAGACGATGTTCTCTGGGAGACACGGAGTTTCTTGCAGCCAGGGCGCCGAGATTGTGGAATCCCCTTCCTCGATCCATTCGGTATTCCGAGCCTGTGACACTTTTTAAATCAGCATCTTAAAACTCACCTGTTTCTACCGCAGCCTTTCCCCGAAACTGAAGACTAACAAAACAATGTTGTTGTTGTCTGTTTGGATTGCGCTGCAATATATTATCATTCGCTTTTATCATAGTTATTTATTTTATTGAAATTTCCAGGGCAGTCCTCGATACTGTTATCAGCTTCCTATTTCGCTTCAATTACATCTCCACTTGTGAGTGTAGTTTTATTTTCATGGACAGCGCCTTGAGACACTGCGATATGAAAGGGGCTTTATAAAATAGAGGTTATTAGTATCACCACGTTAGGCAGTATTATCATAGTCTATATCGCCATCACCACCACCAACCAGCATCTGTTAACCCACCTCCCAACATCTTCTCTAATGACACCCCCAACCCATTACTTCTCTCTCCCATCTCTTCCGCATTTGAAAGCAGCACGGGGTGGGGGGAGGGGGGGTGTTGTCCGTTTCTATTCCAAAAAAGCGATGAAAACTCGTAAATCGTCCCCATCGCCGGCGACGCACGGACCGGGGCCCCAAGTGAAAGCAACCGGCCTCCCCGCTCACGCGCAACGGCGTCGTTGGAAGCCCTGGGTCGCGTGTGACAATTCCACATTCATATATACGCCGGCGTTCAGATTACTATCCATGGGACAAGTACTGTGGACTTACCCCTCTCCCCAAAAACAAATCGGTTGGTACTTATGGTTTGTCGACCACCCCCTCCCCCACCCCCCGGCAGAATAATGTTGATTTCGCCGATGATCGTTATAACGATGATGACGACGATGATGATGCCAGTGATGTGAGCCCACGATGCACGTGACCTACTTAAAGGAGTGACTGTGGGGGCATTGCCCGACACGTGGCGATTGTCGTCGTTATGTAAGTGTCCTGTTTATTGTTGTTATTGTTTCGCACGAGCTTGTGCTGGAGGTTTAAATAAAGCGACCTGTGTCTTGACCCCCCGCAAGCTCTGACTGGATCGGTTGTCACCTGTGCGGGGGGTTATTTACAAGGCGAGATAAACTATTGGGACGATGGGTGTCTCCGTCACGAGACACTGGTTCCACCTTGAAACGATTCAAAATGTGGAGGGAGAAAAAAAACAAGAGGACACGGAGAAAAAAATCCACGCGACCACGGGGAGGACATTGGAAACTCGAAATGTACAGCAGGCGTCGGGGTCGAGATACAACCCGCAACCTCCTGTATACCAGGCGGAGGTGGTGAGCATCTCAATACCGTGGCGCCCAACCTGATCCCACCTGTTGTCCCAAGCAAGCCGACGTCCTGCCGACGTTCTGCCAACGTCCCACCAGCGGTGCCAACGTCCCACCAGCGGTGCCAACGTCACCCAACATTGCAGCAACGCTTGGTGAGCGGTGGCGCGGTGATTGCAGCATTGCGCTCCGAACCCGACGACGTCGGTTCGATTTCCAGCGGCGGCGGCGGACGACAATGACGAACGCTATCTGAACCATTGCAGGCCCCCCCGTTTCCGCCAAACGACACGCGCTGACCAGCGTGGTGAAGTATGGTTGAGCAACGCCCTAGAAGTGACACGACGCGGTGAGGTCCTCGTTCCAGCGGTGGATCACAGCGATGGCTCCACCGTACAATGGGTGTCCACCAACCAAAGGCCACGCGGATGAAATGTTGACATCTTTTAGTCCGTTGTCATTAAATCAAAAACCCGTTGTTGTTTTTAACTATTTCAAGTCAGGAATAATTATTAATATGCCACCCTGTGTCAGCCCACTGCTGACAGAAGCCCCCCCCCCCCCACGCCGTACCAGTAATGGGTGCTTTGTTTGACCATACTTCACCACGCCGGTGAGCGCACTTTACGAAAGTCCAGCGGAGCAAGAAATTGCATCGCCTTGGGCATCGTTCGCGGTTTGTTGTTGTTGTTTTGTTTGGAACACGGGGGGTGCCGTTACGCAAAAAGCGCCACGTCCGTGCGCAGAGCGTTGAAAGGTGCGCGCGTACTGCAGTCTGTAATCTGCTTACATTTAATCAGCCTTGGCTCCCGTTTCGCCGCGCGCTGACTGCGCGGGTTTCCTCCAAAAACGCCTCCCCGACGGCGCGACTATGATGCCGCAGATGGATTTGGGGGGGATGGAAGTCGACCCCTAACCCCCACACCGCCCCCCGCCCCCCCCCAGCTTGGTGAGAGATTTAATTCCACTCAATGTCACTCGCGCCCTTTGTTGTTGTTAAACCGGCTTACTGCGGGCGGCTGTACACGTGATGCCCCCTCCCCCCCACTGCGTATACACCGCACGTGGATCAGGCTCGCCACGAACGGCCTCGGCTCATCACACCCCACCCGGCAGGCGAGGACAATCGGGGCCTGGGTTCGAGTCCTGAACTCGGGCAGCTTTCTCCGCGCGGTTTGTGCGCGTCCTCTCCCCCTGTTCTGCAAAAGGGTTTGCTCCTGGTTCTCCGGTCTTTCTCCCAGAGCTATACAAAATAATAATCATAAAATGTAGCTGGTGTTGGCCAAACATCCCATTGCTGTAAATAAAAAAAACGACCTGCAATGTATTCAATTGGGAGTCGCGCAAACACGGCAGCACCATAGCCCCCATATTGCGTAAACTTCAGAATATCAGAATATTGATTTATACTGGAGGAATCCGATGAGCTATGAAGCTCTTTTGAACAGCTGTCCAGCAACTTGCCAAGACCATCCAGAAAAAAGTCACGAGACTCGGTGAGGCTTTCTTGGGTAAGCGAGAGAACAAATCGCGATTACTGAATACGTTTTATAAATAGCTTTATCCAGGATTGCCCGAGTCTCAAGACTTTTATTCACGACAAATTCCCTTTTTTAACGAAATGTTTCACAAGTACCGAAACAAAGCTGGGGTACCGGAAAGAAAACTCACCATGCATACAATGGGGACCACAGTGGCCAGATGTTCACTACCTCGCCTGGTATACAGGAAGTCGTGGGTTCGATCCCTGCCCTGATACCTGCTGCTGTATATTTGGAGTTTGCATGTCTCTCTCCCCGTGGTCGTGTGGATTTTTTCTCCGGGTCGCCCGGTTTTTCCCTCCTAATTTATAATCAACATCACGCGTTTAGAGTATTTGGCTTCTATACATTTCCACATAAGCTGCTTCGTTGCGATATAATTTGTGATATCCAGGTCGCTTCTGAAAAATAGCTAGATAGCTCAGTGAGCCTTACCTGGTAAAATAAAAAATAGTTAATAGTTTTTATAACACTCAAAGGTGTGTAGGCAGCTTCCTGAACCCACTTGCTGCCCTACCATTTCCTGGCCACATCACAGCCCAGCGGGTTCGGGAGTTTCACAAATCTCTTGGTGACCCACCAACCCTCGCCTCCCAAGGCGCCGTATCGCAGGCGTGCACCATCGCAGCTCATGATGGCCACCGTTTAACCAGCGGCAGTACAGAGGGGTCTTTAACGTCGTAGTTTGCGACTTGTGTCGTGCTTTGCTAATCCCACTTAGAACACCAGCGTAGACGCCGTTAAATAATTAGATGTCAAATGTTACATTTTACCATCATTTATTCCCTTCATTTCAAAATTTGCCCATGATTTAAGACAAAAATTCCACCGTAACAGTTGTACACAAGCGAAGACGCAAATTCGTTACGTGACAGCATCGTAACTGTAAGCACAATAGTGGCAGTAATGCGACGAGGTGGCGGCGGCGTATTCACGATTCAACGCGACAGTGAAACCTGGTCAACAGGTGCCACCTAGGGTGGCCCTGCCACAACTGCACTGACCATTTCTACTCGGGGGTGAAACCGACCACAGTGTGGCTTCTAAACTCGTGCCAATCTTCTTGGTTCTTTCGGTAAAGTCACGTAGAAGGGAAGTAATAAAATAATGAAAATAAAACATAATAAAATAATTCTCACGACGTTTCGGCTACAACGCAAGCAGCCGTCTTCAGGTGAAGAATGAGGCACTGCCAAGCTAGGAGCTTATATATACGCTGGGTTGGAGGTGCAAGAAGAGCGCCTTAACAAAAAGAATGTGCACCTCCAACCCAGCGTATATATAAGCTCCTAGCTTGGCAGTGCCTCATTCTTCACCTGAAGACGGCTGCTTGCGTTGTAGCCGAAACGTCGTGAGAATTATTTTATTGTTTTATTTTTATTATTTTATTACTTCCCTTCTACGTGACTTTACCGAAAGAACCAAGAAGATGAATCCCTGCAGTCACGAAAGCTTTGAATCGAAATTTAACTCGTGCTAAATTTAGAATGACCACGTGTTGCGGCATAAACGCTTCTCTGCAAGGCACGGCGTTTATCGCGATGCTAAATGCGGTAACGAAGGTATTAATGTCTCGTAATTACATTTTGGGTTCGGCCGCTTGAACAAATTATCTTGCGATAGCGCTCGGTGCAATGGCCCCTAACAGCACAGAGAGAGGCCCAGAGGGGTAGAGTGACGTCGTCTATTTTAGACTTCTTTCCTTTCTAAGGCGTTATTGACGCGGACCAAACCGCACGGCGTACAAGGGCTTTAAATGAGCCAATTGTCATCGTGTCAGCTCACCGCCAAAAAGCTTCACGGCAAATTCTCACCACCAAATTTGGCGATTACATTCGGTTGTAACCCCTCAACAGTCGATAAACGAATCGTAACACTGGCTGCGAAATCCTCCACGCTAAGACGACAATGTCCTTCGGAGCGTCGCCCTGTTTACGGAATTTTCTATCTCCACCCGAGGCAGAGAATCTCGCGCCTGCGTTCACCACCCCGCGTCTTAACTTCGCGAAGTTATCTTCTTGGTTCTTTCAGTAAAGTCACGTAATAAAATAATAAAAAATGATTGTTTTATTTTTATTATTTTATTATAAAAATAAAACATTATTTTTATTATTTTATTATAAAAATAAAACATTTTTATAATATTGTTTTATTTTTATTATTTTATTACTTCCCTTCTACGTGACTTTACCGAAAGAACCAAGAAGATGAAGCCCTGCAGTCACGAAAGCGTTAAATCGAAATTCGTGAATTCATTACTCCGCGGCCTTCCTGAACAAATATTGGCACGTAAAAAAACAGATTGACTGCAGAATGCGACGAGACTCAAAAGACTACTTAACTCGTCCTCACAGATTGTTCACCAGCAGACCCGGGCGTTTCGTCTCAACTACCACCGCACTTGCAGGTCCACAACACTCTCATCTATTGTTAGGCCTCTGCAAGGTAAAGTCAAAACAATGAGCCTACCTTTACCCTTACCACAATGCAATCACTCTATCCCCTACCTTTTACCCTTTAGCAAGGTAAGGTAAAAGGTCAAAAGCAACGAGCCTATCTTTATCCGACCTTTTACCCTTACCCCGTACAAATAACCCGATCACAGGGTAATTACTGGGGTACTACTACACATGAAAAAGGTTTAGAACAGGTAAATGCTAGGTAGAGCGCTTTGTTCATATCGAATACTCTCGATGATTCCAATTTTAAATGGAGGCCACGGACTGCGCCACGGAGTTTTTAGCGAGCGGTAAACAAGGTGTTTACCGGGTAATACTTCGCCGCGCTACTTTTACCCTACCCTTTACCTTACCCCTGAGCATATCAACACCTTTACCCTTTGACCCGGTAAAAAGGGTAAATGACCTTACCTTGCCGAGGCCTATCTATTGTAACATTTATAGTGCCGTTTGTTTTCTGGCCGTTGTGAAGTTTTGGGCCATGAGGTCGCTGGCCTCAGCAACTGTGTAAAGTGTCTCATTCTACTTCTTCCCTCCCATCATCTCGTTCCCCACCAAACGTTCTCATCTTAACCTTTGCTCAATTCAGGACACGTGGCAACTCTTATATCCATTACACATTTCAACAGCGCTGTTTTGTTGCTGGTCACTCGGCGTTTCAGGCCTTCGGTCCTGTGCTCAGCAACCACAATGTAAACAAAAACATATTTGGATTGAGTGCAAGATTGCTGTGATGGTCTTCAAGATTCTTCATGGGTTGGGCCCCCGGGCAACTGGGTACCTCACCCCCCACATCACTCTCCCAAGCCCTGCACGTGCTCTCCACTCTGCAAATAGCGATCCCCCGATCCCCTGGTGAGTCGACGAGGAAATCTGCAAACGATGGAGGGGGCAGTCGCTCCCCTTCTTGGCTGCTGCTCCCCTGATCTGGAACCCGTCACCACTTGAATTTCACGCACTGCCACTCTTTAGGACCTAGCCTGAATACTTCATTAGTTATTTTAAAAGATCAAGATGTCATCGAGGCCAAAGCCGTTGAAGCTACCACCACCATCAGCTCCTCCCCAACACATTCTACCCTCCGCCAGATCCCACAGCTGCTGCACAGGAGGCACGCGGCAAACCTCCAAGGTCTGCTCTGGCAGTAGTAGTCTCGGCAGATGGGTGGCACGGTGGTGAGATGTTAATTACCTCGCCTGGTATACTGGAGATCGTGGCTTCGATCCCGACCCAGACGCCCATGTTCTCCCCGTGGTCGTGTGGATTTTTCTCCGGGTCCTCAGATTTTTATCCTCCAAATTTATAAACGTGCGTTTAAAGACTATTCGGCTGCTATAAATGTCCACATGATAGGCCACTTTATTTGAGCTATCGTTTGTGATAGCCAGGTCACTTCTGTAAAAAAGCTTCATGGCTCAGTGGGCCCTGATCCTGGTAAAATAAACAATAAGTTCAGTCGTTTCGTTTAGACTCCCACCATCTGCTCTTAGGTCTTCCCCTTGATCACCTATACGTAAATAAATTGACCACCACCACCGTCGCTACATTGTTACATCTCTCACCTCCACCACTACTAAAACCGCTATAAGCGTGACCAGCACCACCACCACCACCAAGGGTGGCCAGGTGTATGAAGCCCCTGCAGCGGCCGTTTCCATAACTTTTATATTGAAACTTGGTGGGGGGGGGAGGCGATGTTAACTTAATTTCTATATGCACCAATAATCACCAGCTTCGCCCCCATCATCCACACCAGCCCCAGATCATCGACCGAGTGACCGTTGGTCACCGCAGAGATGGACAGACATTTATTAAAATTACTAATAACTGCCTGGGGAAATATCATGAGATTCAAATTATCTATTAACTGTGTCTGTGTGTAATGTAGATACCAATTACAAATGTAATGGAATGAAATATTTATATTTCATGCTCTTTATATCGTGGTTGTTCCAAAGTATTCCCCAATCGTCCTTGGGTTCATTCCAATTGTTCCTGGATATTCCCTGGGTCACTCTTGGGTTATCCCTACATTGTCCTTCGGTTCTCTCTGGCTTACCCCTGGGCTAGTACTGGGTTATCCCTGGGTCTTTCTTCAGGTTATCCCCTAGGTTCATCCCCGGGGTAGGCCACATTCAGCTGAGAGAGAAGAGCTCCTCCAGCTGCCGGCGCGTGTCGTCTGGAGACGTCACCGTGTGTCCGATCGTCCGCTCATCGTGAAAGATCTCGTGGTCGTTTCCACCCTGGTGGGCAGAGAGAGAGAGGAGATGCCGCGGTCGCCAATTACTATAATTACAAATTGTTCATAAAAAAATGTCATCATCATCAACCCTTCGTCAGTCCGCTGCTGGGACGAAGGTGTTGGTAGTCGTCTGACCCGTGCGTCACCCTGCTGGTGTGTGCGGGGATCGGTGAAGGGTGGATGAGAGGGATGGGAGGAGGAAGGTTTGGTAGGTGGGTGGAAAGGAGTCGAGGTGGGTGCGTGGGTGGGAGGGAGGAAGTGTCTCTCGGTGGGTGGATGGGAGAAAGGAAGGTGTATTGGTGGGGGGGGGGAGACATGGAGGATATAGAGAGATTGTGTGTGTGGGTGTGTGTGGGTGTGTGTGGGTGTGTGGGTGTGTGAATGAGTGGGTGAGAGGACAGGACATTGTTGTGTGAAAAGAGGAGAGGGTGGGTGCATGGGAGGGATAGATGGAGACAATAGGGTGGGTGCATGGGAGGGAGGGACGGAGAGGATAGGGTATGGAGTGTGAGAAGAGAGCGGTGCAGTGAGATGGAGGGTGGGAGGGAGGGGCCGCATGGGCGTGCGTTCTGACCGCCATGGTTTTGTCTCCGAAGAAGTGCACGGTGCGGAGGCGGTCGGGAGCCAGGAGGCCGAGGCAGAAGCGCTTGTCCCATCCCTCAGGGAACACGTCAAAGCTGATCTGTCCTCCTGGGGGGAGGGAGAGAGAGACGAGGCAAGATGTGAGGAGCGAGTGAGAGGGAGTGAGAGGGAGGCAGGGAGAGGAGGTGGACTATGGAAGAGTGTGAGAATGGGGAGGACTAAATGGGGACGAGGAGGAGAAGAAAGGAGAGAGTGGAGAAGATTGGGGGGGAAAAAAAGATGGGGATAGAGGAGAGACGATAGGGAGATGAGTGGAGAGAGATGAGGAGGGAGGGAGGGAGGGAGGGAGGGTGGGAGGGAGGGCAGGCGGGTGGGAGGGAACAGGAAAGTAATGAGTACGTAAATGAGAGAAAATTGTTCTAAACCCCAGTTTCTCGAAATGCTGGAGCCAGGTTTTGTATGGCTGGCACAGTGGCACATTCCTACTTTATGATCCATCCCTTGGTTTGAAATCTCCCAGTCATTCCCTGTGCAAAAGAGGCTCCAGATTCCGGTAGTTATTTTTAAAGTCCATGCCAGGTATCGACTCGTCCACTACTCACCTATCGAGAACACCAGACCCTTCCCGGCAAACTTTTCCCGCAAGTCTTCAACGAACTTTTGTCGGATATTTTCTTTCTGGAATAAAATGTTAAAAACCCACAACAGAATCAAAAACATCAGATGAAAATTGAAAACACTCCATCCAATTAAATTTGACATATTTTTGGTCACTAGCATTGATGTCTTATCAATAATGAAACGGTTTGTGCACGAGTTTCATTTAAAGTGTTCACAGCCGGCGGCTAATCTCCGCGCCGTTTTCGCGGTTGCGCCACGTGGCTGAAAATCCCTCAACAGCTTTCCCCACGCACTACTGCGGGCATCTTCACGATCTGAATCGTACGATTTTAATCCCGAAGACACCCAGCCAAACCTTAACCCTCTTAACCCCACCGAGATTTAGCTTTACGTCAATTGACCCAAGGCTCATTACCCACTGAGACTGATTGCCTAAGATTATCGCCAACATCTCATGACTTCCATTGCCCAACTTGACCAGGTTACAGGGGCGTGGGCTTTGTGACGATGTCGAACTCGGGTGCCTTCACGGAAAACGAAATAGCAAAAAACACAATTTGTGTTTTTTCCCGTATAAGAACGTCTCCGTGTGATGCATCTCAAGTTGCTGTACACAGATGGGGGGAGCCGTAAATCAATGACGCAGTTTCGTCTTTCTGTCAAAACCCATTCAAGCTCCCTGTGAAGCATCCAGAGATGCTTATAGCATTCAGGCGCTATATAGATGCAAATTATTACTATTACAGGTGAACTCCTCTTATCCGCTGTCCTATTACCCACGACTCGTATTATCCGCAGTAGCTGTAGGGCCCGTATTATTTTGGATGATTTAGAAATTTTGACTGAGTTTGCATCATCTCCCATTCGCAGAACTGGCCAATGAGCACATTTTTCACCAACATGCCAGGAGACATTTGCCAAGGCAGAACTGGCCAATGAGCACATTATCACCAACATGCCAGGAGACATTTGCCAAGGTGTACATCGGGCACTTAAGGCTTCTTTTCCTCGTGCATACAAGTCGGGAGAAACCGCGCGCACGCGAGGATTACGCGACGCTTTACACCATGCGTTGGTGGATCGGAAGTATTTTATTAGCAGCATGGATTCCAACGGATAGCTGCTTTGTGTTCCCAGATTTTTTTTGCCAATCGTTCGATCGATTTGGTCGGTCAACTTTCCAGGAAGTACCGAGTACCAACAAAAGTTTCTATTTCAGGTTCACTTCAACTGCAGCAGAGAGATGCGGCAGTTAGATTGCAAGTCCAGAGCTCTAACCGGCAGCCTCTGGAGGAGTAATCAATTCGTTAATCGCATAGCCCAGCTCTACTTTCAACCGTTAGTAATACTGTGCTGGATTACACAGGAAAGTCTCACCGAGTCTCAAGACTCGGTGAGCTCTTTGCTGGACAGGGCAATGTTGCTTTGTTTAAGCGCAATGGAGTAAATTGCAGGTAAATATTCAGCACTGGGATGTTTGCACTGGCGGAGCCAGTGGGGGGGGTGGGGTGGCACGTGCCTCCCCCCAATGATCTGATCGAAATCCCTAATTTCGATCAGATCATTGGGGTTTATTAGTAATAAATCGGCATTTTGCGACACCCACTGCCACTGTGTAGCAATTATGTGCCAGGGACTCGATGAGATGATAGGACAATAGTCCGAGTCCATAATTGGCAATAAGTAACGGCAAAACAGTTTTAAGTGACTCATAATTGTGCGCAGTTGTGTATACAGGACACGACTTCCCTGAAGGCATTCACCTTCAGCGAGCGCGATGCCGACCACACAACACGGTTCGAATTCGACCCTCGATCGATGGCTGCGCCATCGCCGCACACGCCTCGAATAACAAGCAAAGGACAAGTCTTTACTTACTAACAACTCCTCTATCATTTTTCATTCCTACCTAAAAATCCTGACTCTGCCATTGGATGTTTGGCCAATACCAACTACATTGAGTTGGTATTGAACCCGGGATAACATACAAATTACACTCAAGTCTCACATTCACTCACACAAACATCCCCTATATACCCTTAACAGACTGTTGGGGAAAGTGCTATTAGCGAGCATCTATGAAGGCCAGTATGGCACACGAGGGGGTGGGGTGGCCAGCGCCAGGCCCGGCCACCTTTGTCTCCCCAGCTGTGATGTTTACACACCGCACCAGAACCGGTTTAGATAATCGTCACTGGTGTTGGACGTGAACGGAAATCGAACTTGGGTCGCTGGATTCGTAGCGCAGCACGCTAACCGCTACACTCACTCACACACTCACTGACATACACACCCAATCACTCGCACTCCCGCACTCTCTGCAGAACAGGAGAAGGAGCGTACAAAATCCACGCAGAAAGGCGCCTGAGTTGGGACGCGAACCCAGGCACTTCTTGCCATGAGATGCGAGTGTTCACCACCGCCCATAATTTAACATCCCCGTCTGCCTCGGTGGGAGTGTGATGAGAGTGTGCGTGTGACGATCCGAGGCCATCGGTGGCGAGGCGCTGTGCACGCGAGCAAGCGCACCTTGTCAAGCTCGTAGAATTCGAGTCGCTCCTCCTGGGTGCAGCTTCTCCCCACGGGACACACGTTGAGCATGCCATTCCGGAACTCGATGAACGTTCCCCTTGCGTGCGCACCGACGCGAAGCACAGCAGACGCACGGACACCGCGGCTCCCGTTAATGAGCGGGAATCAACTCTCACACTCTTGAATGTTGCTGCGACTGCTGCGTTGGCTATAGTGCACAAGCAGATATAGTAGATAATCGATTATCCGGCGTGCGATTATGCGGCTTGCAACATAATCCGACGGTCCCGGGCCGATCCGGCGAACCTCCATCACAGCTGATGGAGTTGGATTCAGACTCCGAATAACCACTGCCAATTCTACACCCCCTATAATCACCCCATGCTGGGTCTTGCGATTGGAGTGTGAAGCACAGCGCAGTAAATTCAGTAACTTTTTAAAGTAGGATATTTTTTAAAATCTATTTTTATGTTCATGCTAATTTCATACTGTAAACTAATTTTAAACACCTAAAAACATATATACAACACCTAAAAATTGGGATTACTGCTAAACTACTTCACACTGATTCTGTGAAAAACAGCAGCGCCTTCCTACACGAGAGCCTTGCGCTATAGGAATGGCACGGATTGTGAAGGTACCAGTCAACTGACGATGTAACGATTTGATTTCTAACGGTTGTGTAAACCAAACCACTAAACTATTTTAATTTTACCATGTAAGGCCCACTGAGCTATAGATATATTTTTCAGGAGTGACCTGGCCACAAATGATAGCTCAATGAAGTGGCTCATCACGTAGAAATTTATTGCAGCCAAATACTCTAAACGCACGTTGAATCTAAACGTGGAGGGAAAAACTGGAGGACCCGGAGAAAAATGCACGCGACCCAGAGAAACGTAGATATGTATCTATGTTGAACTTCTTTCGCACCATACGTAGCCAAACCACGCTAATCACAGATGCGGGGGAAGGACAACAAACTAAGAAAAATTAGTTCTAAAGATGAAATGAGTTTTCAATCTAGATTTAAAAGTGCATAGCTCCCACAGCTTCCTAATATCGGAAGGCATAGCAGAGCATTCCAGATGGCCACAAAAGCGCATCTGAAAGCACGCGATGCAGTGAGCGTCCTTTGTTTCGACGGCCAGCCAAAATCCGCGATGAAGATGACCAGAGTTTGCGTAATGGTTTATGTTCCTTGACGAGATTCGCAAGGTATTGAGGTTTGTGGCAATAATTTACTGGCCAAACACTCTAAATGCGTGATATTGATTCTAAATGAGGGAAAAACCGGAGGACACAGAGAAAAATCCACGCCACCCGGACAAAAAAACGCTGAGGATCAGAGGCTCGGGGGAGGGTACGGTGGGGCGAGGGGCAGCCCGAACCTCTTGCGAGGCAGGCGGATGTGGCTCATGTAGGCGAGGCAGTAGTTGATGAATTCCTGGAGGATCTCCTCACCCAGGTGACTCTGGATGCTCTGAGCGGGGATGAGGAACACGCGGGGGGGGGGGTGGGGGGGAAGAAACCTCGGTCAGCACCGCGATGGACCGTCGCCGCTACGAGGAGCACGATACGTCAACTCATGGAATCAATTTAAATCTCACGCTCACAGTAAACGAACTGGATCACTTGCAGAGGTAAAAGTTCAGCGCTGCAATGTCTTGCCCGTGCCTTTGGAGAACGCTATGGGAGCAAGCTCGAGAGGGCCCCTCCTTGAGGACATTTTGGCCTACTCTTCCACGCTGGACAAACGTCTTAGGCGAGGTTGTAATAAAGAGGATCTGTCCTCCCATCATGCCTTGTATAACCGTCACATCACCATACCACATGCATAATGCATTTCAGTTACGGGGGTTGCGTAACCTTACTTCACCATGGTGGCCAGTATGGCTGATGGCAGCACAGCCATGAGCACGTTTTAGATATTACTCACTACTGAGGTGAGCCGTGGCCGGGAATGAAACGCAGGTCGCCAGTTTCACGGTGCAGTGACCTAACCACTTATCCACCACTATAAATTGACACAGCAAAGACATGTTTCACTATAGAATAACTATAGAATAACATGATGGACTTTAAAAGACCGACACAACTCTACATTTCGAAAGATCCACACCACTATAATCGATAGAATTATGCCATCGCAGACACTACAAATTCGTACCATTATAGCTACAACAGCTTTGCTCCATGATAGATTCTGTTGTGGAATCTACACCCGCCACCAGGACAAAAACGCCGGCATCTCTGAACCACACCGCGAGCCTGAATGGTGACGATTCATCGGGTTGTGGAAGGGCAGAGTCGCTACATGTTTGGTAAAAAAAACGTTTACTTTTGGTGGTCGTGGCGATGGTGGTCGTGGTGGGTGTCAGACACGGAAATACCTGTTGGGCAAAGAGACGACCCTCCTTGTATGCCACCAGACCGTTCTCCGCAAACACGTAGTCAAACTGGTTCACCACTGCCAAGCGAGAAGGTGAAAGAGGCTGAGGGATAGTCACAAATGCAAAGATCCCCCTGTAGCCAATTAGGCTGTTGGGGACAAGTGCTGTTAGCGAGCAATGACGCAGCAGTGGATATGCACAAACTCGCTCTCACCATAATCCTCGCTACCTCCCAGCTGCTCGATGATCTTGCAAAAGTCGGAGCCACCCACAACCCCGACTCGAACTTGTCTCCTCAGCCTCTGCAGCAAATCCTGCATATCCGGAGAAATTTTCTGCGAAGAGATGTGGGGTGGGTAGGGGAGGAGATGGGCAGGATCAGGGGGGACAGAAGGATTTGTTCATGATCAAAACATGTTTTGAGTCCCTTGTCAATCCACTGCTGTTTAAAGGCCTCTCCGACTCCGTGTTGGGGGTGGTTTGACCATACTGCACCACGCTGGTCAGTGCAGGTTGGCGGAGGTAAGGACCAGGACCAGTTAAGACATCACCGGCCACTGATATTGCCCATTGCCGTGAAACTTAACTCAAGCCGCGAGATTAATTACACAGAGTGAAGCCTCTGCCTCACTGGACGTGGTGTTTAGTGTGAGCTGGTATCTCTGAGGGGGGGGGGGGCAGGGGGTTCATGACAGCCATGTCACAGACAAAGTATCAACAATGTTCAGAACCTGGGTACAAATCCTGGGGTTGGGTGTTTTGTTCTCTCTCTGTCTGAGGTTCATAATGGCTGTGCGAGAAACAATGAGCTAGCATCTCCGAGATTATATGTTCAAGCCTGGCTGACTCCCTCCTCTCTCTCACTTGTGCCATGTCCAGTTTTGTCAATCCACTGCTGGATAAAGGCAGTGTGGGGGTCATGGGGAGTTGTTTCACCGTAGCTTATACCACACCGGTCAGTGTGGGTTGGTGAAGGTGGAAGCATAGACGCAAAAGCATAGCAGTAAAGTACAACAATGTATATTGCTGCTCTGCCCACCGTATGGTAGCCAAAATACCTGCTTATTGCATGATTGGTCTTTTCATGTGCAGTTCTATTGAGGGGCTGTGTGTTTCCTTGGTGTGTTCTGGGACTGTTCTTGCTGTTGTTTTGCGGCCTTACCCAAGCTTTGGAATTGGTGTACTGATGCAACTAACATACTTCATCTCCATAAGAGGTCTTTGGCTAAGACCACGTAAATATAAATGTGTCGTTAAACCCGCCGCCACCCCTGAAACGGCCAATTAGTAAAGTTTGTCACGTAAACAAAACATGCCAATTCGTTCCGAGTTCAGCACACCGCTGTGTTGGAGAGTAAATCCACATCTACCACTCGAGCACCACGGTGGCCAGAAGATGTTAACTTAATCACCTGGTGTACAGTAGGTCATGGGTTCGATCCCAAACCCCGACACCACAGCGGCTAGGAGATGCTGACTACCTCGCCCGGTACGCAGGAGGTCGTGAGTTCGATCCCAGACCCTGACACCACGGTGGCTAGGAGATGCTGACTACCTCGCCTGGTACACTGGAGGTCGTGGGTTCGATCCCAGACCCTGACACCACGGTGGCTAGGAGACATTAACCACCTCGTGTGGTATGAAGGAGGTCGTGGGTTCTATCCCAGACCCTGACACCACGGTGGCTAGGAGACATTAACCACCTCGCGTGGTATGAAGGAGGTCGTGGGTTCGATCCCAGACCCTGACACCACGGTGGCTAGGAGATGCTGACTACCTCGCCCGGTACACAGGAGGTCGTGAGTTCGATCCCAGACCCTGACACCACAGCGGCTAGGAGATATTAACTACCTCGCCCGGTACGCAGGTGGTTGTGGGTTCGAATCCAGACCCTGACACCAGGGTGGCTAGGAGATGCTGACTATCTCGCCTGGTACACTGGAGTGTGTGGGTTCGAACCCAGAGCCTGACCTCTGCCCACTGCTGTATATTTGGAGTTTGCAAGTCTCTCTCTCTCCGGGTCCTCCCCCCCCCCCTCCACATTTAGAATCAACACCACGGCGTTCAGAGACTACTCACAAGCCAACGTTCAGCTATCGTCGCGTATAAAGGGGCCGTCCATAAATGACGTCACGCGATTTTGGACGATTTTTGACCCCCTCCCTCCCCTTGTCACACGACGTCACAAAAAGTTAGACCCCCCCTCAAATATGACGTCACAAAGCTCTGCCCCCCCCCCCCCAATAATAAAACATGCTTCAAACCGCTTTAAACTATTGTCATTGTAGTGCGTATTTCATGTGGCGCTGTACTCTGATGTTGTAGGAGAAAACATTTATTAAAAAGTCTATTTAATTAAGTGGAACGTGTTGTCTATATTTATTTAAAGTTGCGCATTTTGATGTGACGTCACATTTCTAAACCCCGCCCCCCCTCGTCACACATCGTCACAAATGTCTAATCCCCCCCCTAGGTGCGTGACGTCATTTATGGACGGCCCCATAGCCAGGGATCGCTTTTGACACACACAAAAAAAACCCAAAGAGCCACGGCTATAAATACATCTCAGCGGGCCTCCTCCCCACCTCGTCAAACAACAGCCACAACGTTTGAGACCGCAGTTGTTTTTTATTTCAGGCTGAGTCGACCTAGGGGAGGCGAGAGTGGGGGGGGGGGCGAGAGTGGGGTGGGGGGGGGGAGGCGAGAGTGGGGGGGGGGGGCGAGAGTGGGGTGGGGGGGGGGGAGGCGAGAGTGGGGGGGCGAGAGTGGGGTGGGGGGGGGGAGGCGAGAGTGGGGGGGGGGGCGAGAGTGGGGTGGGGGGGGGAGGCGAGAGTGGGTGGGGGGGGGGAGGCGAGAGTGGGGGGGGGGAGGCGAGAGTGGGGGGGGGGAGGCGAGAGTGGGGGGGGGGGAGGCGAGAGTGGGGTGGGGGGGGGGAGGCGAGAGTGGGGTGGGGGAGGGCGAGAGTGGGGTGGGGGAGGCGAGAGTGGGGTGGGGGGGGAGGCGAGAGTGGGGGGGGGGAGGCGAGAGTGGGGGGGGGGAGGCGAGAGTGGGGGGGGGGAGGCGAGAGTGGGGTGGGGGGGGGGAGGCGAGAGTGGGGTGGGGGGGGGAGGCGAGAGTGGGGGGGGGGGGAGGCGAGAGTGGGGGGGGGGGAGGCGAGAGTGGGGTGGGGGGGGGGAGGCGAGAGTGGGGTGGGGGGAGGCGAGAGTGGGGTGGGGGAGGCGAGAGTGGGGGTGGGGGGGGGAGGCGAGAGTGGGGGGGGGGAGGCGAGAGTGGGGGGGGGGAGGCGAGAGTGGGGGGGGGGGAGGCGAGAGTGGGGTGGGGGGGGGGAGGCGAGAGTGGGGTGGGGGGGGGGAGGCGAGAGTGGGGGGGGGGGAGGCGAGAGTGGGGGGGGGGAGGCGAGAGTGGGGGGGGGGGAGGCGAGAGTGGGGTGGGGGGGGGGAGGCGAGAGTGGGGTGGGGGAGGCGAGAGTGGGGTGGGGGAGGCGAGAGTGGGGTGGGGGAGGCGAGAGTGGGGGGGGGAGGCGAGAGTGGGGGGGGGGAGGCGAGAGTGGGGTGGGGGGGGGGAGGCGAGAGTGGGGGGGGGGAGGCGAGAGTGGGGTGGGGGGGGGGAGGCGAGAGTGGGGTGGGGGGGGGGAGGCGAGAGTGGGGGGGGGGAGGCGAGAGTGGGGTGGGGGGGGAGGCGAGAGTGGGGTGGGGGGGGGGGAGGCGAGAGTGGGGTGGGGGGGGGAGGCGAGAGTGGGGTGGGGGGGGGGCGAGAGTGGGGGGGGGGAGGCGAGAGTGGGTGGGGGGGGGGAGGGAGCGAGAGTGGGGGGGGAGGCGAGAGTAGGGTGGGGGAGGCGAGAGTGGGGGGGGGGAGGCGAGAGTGGGGGGGGGAGGCGAGAGTGGGGTGGGGGGGGGAGGCGAGAGTGGGGGGGGGGAGGCGAGAGTGGGGGGGGGGGAGGCGGAGAGTGGGGTGGGGGGGGGGAGGCGAGAGTGGGGTGGGGGGGGGGAGGCGAGAGTGGGGGGGGGGAGGCGAGAGTGGGGTGGGGGGGGGAGGCGAGAGTGGGGTGGGGGAGGCGAGAGTGGGGGGGGGGGGAGAGCGAGAGTGGGGTGGGGGAGGCGAGAGTGGGGGGGGGGAGGCGAGAGTGGGGTGGGGGAGGCGAGAGTGGGGTGGGGAGAGTGGGTTGGGGGGGGAGGCGAGAGTGGGGTGGGGGAGGCGAGAGTGGGGTGGGGGAGGCGAGAGGTGGGGTGGGGGGGGGAGAGTGGGGTGGGGGGGGGAGGCGAGAGTGGGGTGGGGGAGGCGAGAGTGGGGGGGGGGGGGAGAGTGGGGTGGGGGGGGGGAGGCGAGAGTGGGGTGGGGGAGGCGAGAGTGGGGTGGGGGAGGCGAGAGTGGGGGGGGGAGGCGAGAGTGGGGGGGGGAGGCGAGAGTGGGGTGGGGGGGGGGGAGGCGAGAGTGGGGGGGGGGAGGCGAGAGTGGGGTGGGGGGGGGAGGCGAGAGTGGGGTGGGGGGGGGGAGGCGAGAGTGGGGGGGGGGAGGCGAGAGTGGGGTGGGGGGGGGGAGGCGAGAGTGGGGTGGGGGAGGCGAGAGTGGGGGGGGGGAGGCGAGAGTGGGGTGGGGGAGGCGAGAGTGGGGGGGGGAGGCGAGAGTGGGGTGGGGGAGGCGAGAGTGGGTGGGGAGAGTGGGGTGGGGAGAGTGGGGTGGGGGAGGCGAGAGTGGGGTGGGGGAGGCGAGAGTGGGGTGGGGGGGGAGAGTGGGGTGGGGAGGCGAGAGTGGGGTGGGGAGGCGGAGAGTGGGGTGGGGAGGGAGAGTGGGGGGGGGAGGCGAGAGGGTGGGGGGGAGGGGGGGGGGGGGAGGCGAGAGTGGGGGGGGGGGAGGCGAGAGTGGGGTGGGGGGGGGGAGGCGAGAGTGGGGGGGGGGAGGCGAGAGTGGGGTGGGGGGGGGGAGGCGAGAGTGGGGTGGGGGGGGGGAGGCGAGAGTGGGGGGGGGGGAGGCGAGAGTGGGGTGGGGGGGGGGAGGCGAGAGTGGGGTGGGGGGGGGGAGGCGAGAGTGGGGTGGGGGGGGGGGCGAGAGTGGGGGGGGGGAGGCGAGAGTGGGGTGGGGGGGGGGAGGCGAGAGTGGGGTGGGGGAGGCGAGAGTAGGGTGGGGGAGGCGAGAGTGGGGGGGGGGAGGCGAGAGTGGGGGGGGGGAGGCGAGAGTGGGGTGGGGGGGGGGGGGAGGCGAGCGGAGTGGGGGGGGGGAGGCGAGAGTGGGGGGGGGGGAGGCGAGAGTGGGGTGGGGGGGGGGAGGCGAGAGTGGGGTGGGGGGGGGGAGGCGAGAGTGGGGGGGGGGAGGCGAGAGTGGGGTGGGGGGGGGAGGCGAGAGTGGGGTGGGGGAGGCGAGAGTGGGGGGGGGAGGCGAGAGTGGGGTGGGGGAGGCGAGAGTGGGGGGGGGGAGGCGAGAGTGGGGTGGGGGAGGCGAGAGTGGGGTGGGGGAGGCGAGAGTGGGGGGGGGGAGGCGAGAGTGGGGTGGGGGAGGCGAGAGTGGGGTGGGGGAGGCGAGAGTGGGGTGGGGGGGGGGAGAGTGGGGTGGGGAGGCGAGAGTGGGGGGGGGGGAGGCGAGAGTGGGGGGGGGGAGGCGAGAGTGGGGTGGGGGGGGGGAGGCGAGAGTGGGGTGGGGGGGGGGAGGCGAGAGTGGGGGGGGGGAGGCGAGAGTGGGGTGGGGGGGGGGAGGCGAGAGTGGGGTGGGGGAGGCGAGAGTGGGGGGGGGGAGGCGAGAGTGGGGTGGGGGAGGCGAGAGTGGGGGGGGGGAGGCGAGAGTGGGGTGGGGGAGGCGAGAGTGGGGTGGGGGAGGCGAGAGTGGGGTGGGGGGGGGAGAGTGGGGTGGGGAGGCGAGAGTGGGGTGGGGGAGGCGAGAGTGGGGTGGGGGGGGGAGAGTGGGGTGGGGGGGGGAGGCGAGAGTGGGGTGGGGGAGGCGAGAGTGGGGGGGGGGAGGCGAGAGTGGGGGGGGGGAGGCGAGAGTGGGGGGGGGGGGTGTAGCCCCTCACCTGGCGCGCCGGCGTCAGGGTGCCGTCCACGTCGAAGAGGCACAGCACCGACTCGTCGCGGGTGCCCGCCATGGCCTCTTGCCACCACCACCACCACCGCTACCTACCACCACCGCTACCACCACCGCCACCACCGCCACCACCTACCACCACCGCTACCTACCACCACCGCTACCACCGCCACCACCACCGCCACCACCACCGCCACCACCGCTACCACCCACCACCACCACCCTCCTCCTCGCTCACGGAGCGTCAAACCCGGCGGCGGCAGCGGCTCGTCTTCCCCCTCGTAACCAACCCCAACAAGTTACAAGTCGCGTGACGTCATTCACACTTACACGTCGTCGTGCGTGACGTCTTCCGCTTGCGGAATTACGTCATCTTGACGCTAATGACGCCGTCTTACTACGATTGACGTCATCTTACTAGGAGTGACGTCATCTTACTAATGACGTCTTCTTACTCCTGACGACTACTTACTAAAGCCGTCATCTTACTACGAATGACGTCATCTTACTAATGACGCCTTCTATGAATGACGCCGACTTACTACTAAATGACGTCATCCTGCAACCGCAGCCTCATTTTCCAATTCCTCGCATTACGAGCTCGTATAGGCAAAGATGATCGCACTCAGGATGGTATTTTAAACAATAAAACTCTTTAATAATAACGAACGAAAAACGCGAAAGGCCACATTCACTCCCGACTCACACCACAGTTCCACCTCAATCTCCCTAGTTTGTCTACACTATTAATTACGTCATATTATGACTAATTGCGTCATCTTACCACTAAAGTACATGACGTTTTAGCGCGTTAACAATGGCAGGCGTCGGTGACGTCACTCGCAGACTAAAACTTGCGGCGACTCTCAAATCTTTATAGTGTGGAGGAATCCGATGAGCTGTAAAGCTCCTTTCCCGACAGATGTCCAGAAGATCCCCGTTTCGTTAAGCGTAACCGTTTATGAATGAGGCCAAAACCTTGTCTAATGACGTCATTGACTAGCGAGTGGCGACACTTACGTGACGTCACGTAATATAATTTGAAAGTGACGTCACTTGCAATGTTCACGTCACTTTGTGGTGTGATGTTATGAAATTGGGATATTGCCCGAAACGTCGCCTATTTTTTCCCTTTAAGGTCACGCACAGTGTTACTGACTAACAGTGTTGAGTTCGTATTTGTCGTTCGAAGCACATTCAGAATCAACATGCTTCTTTTTTTCTTCACCTGAAGACGGCTGCTTGCGTTGTAGCCGAAACGTCGTGAGAATTATTTTATTTTATTGTTTTATTTTTATTATTTTGTTACTTTCCTTCTACGTGACTTTACCGAAAGAACCAAGAAGATGAACATGCTTCTTCTTGGTTCTTTCGGTAAAGTCACGTAGAAGGGAAATAATGAAATACAGCATAAAATAACAAAAATTCAACATGTATTTAGATTAAATTTTGATTTAAAGCTTTCGTGACTGCAGGGATTCATCTTCTTGGTTCTTTCGGTAAAGTCACGTAGAAGGGAAGTAATAAAATAATAAAAATTAAACATAATAAAATTATTCTCACGACGTTTCGGCCACAACGCAAGCAGCCGTCCTCAGGTGAAAACCAGGTCCGTCGAGGCGACAGAGTCTTCACCTGAGGACGGCTGCTTGCGTTGTGGCCGAAACGTCGTGAGAATAATTTTATTATGTTTTATTTTTATTATTTTTATTATTTATTACTTCCCTTCTACGTGTCTTTACCGAAAGAACCAAGAAGATGTATTTAGATTATTTTGCTGCTGTAACTTTCCACACGAAAAGCCACTTTGCTGAGCCATCGTGTGTGGCACAGGTGGCTTCTAAAAAAACAAGTTAATACCTCAGCGGGCATTACCCGATAAGACAATATTTAGTTGGGTTTTATTTGTATAGTTCCCGAAGCGATTTACCTTTCCTATACTTTGCACTCATGTCATGTTTTATATTGTTTATATAGTTTTTTTTTTAATATCGTTTGCAGTCTAAACACATACATTCGGATGCAGTCTGCAAATGGGGCAGCAATCCATTTACAGTTCCCGCGTTGCCATGGAGACCCCCCCCCCCGGCGAGATGACGTCACAACCCCCCCCGGCGAGATGACGTCACAACCCCCCCGGCGAGATGACGTCACCCCCCCCGCATCTCGTTGGGGGCGGGGCCTCGCCTCGCTTCACCCCCCTGACCAAGATGGCCACGTGGCCGCTCCGCGTCCGACCTCTGCCTCAGCTACTCCTCCGCGCCGCCAACTCGGCCGGCCGCCACCCTGCCGCCCCCCTCGTCGCGGAGCTCACGACACTGTCGAGGTATAGAGCGAGAGAGGTGGGGGGCACGGACCTCAGCACGCAGCCAGCGCGTCGTCATCTCTGACCCACTAACACCAACGACCTCCTCCATTCGTTAGCGCGGCAGCGCGCATCAACCACACGGGAAGGGACTGCGGCAAACATCGTCGCGGGGTGTATTCATCACACTTGAAGGGGGAGGGGTCGGCGCGGTAAGGGTCTGCGGTAAACGGTGCTTGATTATATTCTTGGTTAGAGTCAACATGCATCTTCTTGGTTCTTTCGGTAAAGTCGCGTAGAAGGGAAATAATAAAATAAAAAAAATAAAAAAAATTATCACAACGTTTCGATTGCAACACAAGCAATCATCATCAGGTGTGAAAACCACAGCAATAAAAAAAATTCTAATTTTTCAAATGTTCTTGCTGTGGTTTCTCACCTGATGACGATTGCTTGTGTTGCAATCGAAACGTCGTGAGAATTTTATAGTTTTTTTATTTTATTATTTCCCTTCTACGCGACTTTACCGAAAGAACCAAGAATATGAATCTCTACAGTCACGAAAGCTTTAAATCGAAAGGGACTTGATTATTTTGGGTTGTCTTTAACACGAAACAGATAACTTTTATCTTATTTATTTTACCAGGTAACATCGTATTTGTTTTAACCAGGTTAAGGGCCCGATATAATTTCACATTGCGTGACCCCTTGAGTTAGCACGTGGTGGGCGCACACACACATAACAAACTTAACACGTTTGTCAACAACGTTGCGGCCTTAACTGCAAAATATATTCAGCAATAGGCAATGCATTTCATTCATGGAGCAACATTGGACGAAATTGCTTATTTTTTCTAATTCGTGCTTTGGTTAAAGCTTGAACAACTTGTGATTGGTTGATGGTTCGCAGTTGTTGGCTCGTGGTTGTTGTTATTTGACCGTTAACTCGTAAATTCGCATGGATGTCTCAACCCATACGGTTTGTACCCCGTGTTCTTGTACACGGAAATTGAATTTTCAGGTCTTTTTGTTTGTTTTTCTCTCGTGATGGGACTTTTTAGGATGAATGTTGAGATTTTTAAGGGGCACGCGGTGACCAATAAGGTCTGAATTGATCCGTAATAAGAAAAAGGCACTGATGATTTGAAGCGCTCTACCTAGCATTTACCTGTTCTAAACCTTTTTCATGTGTAGTAGTACCCCAGTAATTACCCTGTAATCGGGTTATTTGTACGGGGTAAGGGTAAAAGGTCGGATAAAGATAGGCTCGTTGCTTTTGACCTTTTACCTTACCTTGCTAAAGGGTAAAAGGTAGGGGATAGAGTGATTGCATTGTGGTAAGGGTAAAGGTAGGCTCATTGTTTTGACTTTACCTTGCAGAGGCCTAACAATAGATGAGAGTGTTGTGGACCTGCAAGTGCGGTGGTAGTTGAGACGAAACGCCCGGGTCTGCTGGTGAACAATCTGTGAGGACGAGTTAAGTAGTCTTTTGAGTCTCGTCGCATTCTGCAGTCAATCTGTTTTTTTACGTGCCAATATTTGTTCAGGAAGGCCGCGGAGTAATGAATTCACGAATTTCGATTTAACGCTTTCGTGACTGCAGGGCTTCATCTTCTTGGTTCTTTCGGTAAAGTCACGTAGGTAGAAAAAATAAAAGATCACGACGTTTCGCAACACAAGTTCCCCCCCACCACCTCTCTCTATACCACCTGAAGACGGTCGTTTGTGTAGCGAAACGTCGTGATCTATTATTTTTTCGACCAACGTGGCTTTACCGAACGAACCAAAGAGTAAAGAAAGGGCACTGATAAGGGGTTGACAGGTTTGTTTGTATTCGTCAACACAGCTGGACTTGGTTAATGGTTGACATGATGTACATTTGTAAATGGTTGATACAACTTGCTTGTGATTTGTCTGTTGGGTTGACGTAGCCTGTTCTGATTTGGCTGATGGTTCAACAAAAATTCAAATGACACAATCCTGGTCTCTTGAGTTTCCACCACATTGTTTAAACGAATGAACTTGACCTGGCACCGGAGCTCATGATTGGTCAATATTGTGCTTTATTAGTCGACGTTTTAACACAGCTTGGCTCTTGATTGGTTAACGGTAGACATGTTGTACATGTTGAGAATGGTTGACACAACTTGGTCGTGATTGGTCCTTTGGTTGACGTAGCTTGTTCCTGATTTGCTGACTGTTAGATCAAAATGCAAATGACACAGTCCTGATCTCTTGGTCTGACACCGGAGCTCATGATTAGTCAATATTGTGCTTTATTGGTCAATGTGTAGTGACATTTTATTATGTTTTATTTTTATTACTTTCTTTCTACGTGACTTTACCGAAAGAACCAAGAAGATGAATCCCTGCAGTCACGAAAGCTTTAAATCGAAATGTAGTGACATAGCGCTGACTGTTGGACAGCAACTGCAGGTGGGCACTTAGCGCACACGCCGCTGAGCATATACGCGGGTGTGCCGGCAGGGCGGAGGAAGTGGGGTAAGGGTCATGATAGACCTCGTGTGGAAGCCCCTGGAATCCTCTAGAGCAGGGGTCGGCAACCTACGGCTCCGGAGCCGCATGCGGCTCTTTACGGGTTGCTTCTTGACGATATGTACGTATGTACAGTATGTACTCAGATGCATTGCGGCTCTTGAAATACTGAATTTTGTACCGAATTGGAAAGAAATGGCTCTTCTTGTTATTTTGGTTGCCGACCCCTGCTCTAGAGGGTTCGAGAAGGGAGGCGCGGCTAGTGCGGAGCCAAGCCGCTCCGATGGGAATATAAGCAGCGGAGAGCGAGAGCTCTGGGCTACCTGTTCTGGGATTGAACTCGTCTCGTCGTCGCTGTCATCCTCGTCGCCCTCGTCGCTGCCGCCTTCGCCCGATTATGGCGCGGCCGGACAGTGGTTGGCTGTCCCGGTCGACGCCGTCGGTGCAACGCGGACAGGGTCGTGTCTGGGACGAGACGCGTGGCAGCGGGGTCGTGTTTGAGAGAGAGAGAGAGGGGGGGCCCGAGTGGTGGCATGAGCTCGGCAACAACGAATAAGGAGGGCAGAGCGGTGCCTCCTGCGACCACCTCGTCTCCGGCTGACTGTGTGTGCGTCGCACGCCACACGCATGCAGAGACGACACTACAAATGTTTACTGCAGATCTGTCCTCCCCTGCAGGTGGCATGGACTGCGTAGAAACAACAGTAGCATCATTACCTGCGCAAGTCTCAGCAGCCGTGGGTTCAATGCTGGACGACCTCTTACGACAGCGCGGGGCTCTGCCACTCACGACCCGGCGTCAAGGTCATCATCGGAGTCAAATGTGGACTCCCCCAAATCCTTCCACTGCTAACATTCAAATGATCTAGAATACTGCCGACAGACCCCTCAATCACGCCCCGTAAATGAGCTCCACATCACTCCAATTCTCAAAACTTTCCACTGGCTCTCGATCCGTAAACCGGACAATTCAGGATTCTCCACAGCCTCGTCTTCCCTGCCTACCTCTCCTACTCGCACGCTCTTCAGCTCCACCAACCGAGGCCTTCCGTTAAAACTCTCAGTCACCCTCCCCCCCTGAATGGGAGGTCACTGCTGCTGCTGTGTTAGCCGTGAGGTCTGAGAATCCCCTCCCGTGGTCATTTGTGCTGTTCAGGTCCAGGCTCAAGACCTTCCTCGTATCCACTGCCCATAACTGCCTGTCTCTCCATAATAATGGTTTTTTGGGTTAGATCGCGTAAATATAAAATGTGTCGTTAAAACCCGCCACCACCCGACACAGCCAATTAGCAAGGTTTGTCACGCAAACAAAACATGCTAAAAACATGCCAACTCGTTCACCTGTCTCCTAAGTCTCTCTTCTCCTCTCTGCCCAGTAGCCTTGTGCTCTTCGTCATCCATCTGAAAATAACCCACAAAAAAGCCTCCCCCCCCACCTCCGGCCGCCCCTCCCCCCCCCTCTTTAGTTACCAATATTTTCACGACCCCTTCCCCTTCTACGTCTGTTTGCACAGTCTCCTGAGACGCAATCACATTCAGACTCTTTCAAAATTCAAATACACTTTATTTGGGGCGGTGAAACAAGCAGCATTTTTTGCAAAGGGTATGCGGTTCGTTCCCAGTGGCCCCCCAGGTTGATACTGTGGGCGTAGTAACCAAAAATGCAAGCCAACTTCACAATGGACGCTAAAGATCCTGTCACATTCGAAAAAAAGGTAGGCCTTGTGTGCCGGCATCACGGTTAAAAGTTGCCAAATTTTACCCGCAAACTACCTCACTGGGTAAAGGCACGTAATATAAACATAGCCCACTCTTGTGAGACTGCGGACTGCTATCATCTGCGGAACGTAGCAACTTCCTTCGTGATAGCCAGCCGCTATAAGAATGGCGCCAATATCGAATGCGCTCCCGATTTGATTCGCAGGTCAACATCGGGAGAGGATGGAAGGGGTGATGTCTTCATTCCGATTTACCGCTTCCCGGCCATCAGAGCGACGCGCTTCATATCGCGACTCAAGAACGTGCAGACGATATTCATGGTGGTTGCATTGCCACCCATCTATTACCTGCACACGCAGGTGAGACTGGGGGAAACTGGCAGTTCAAAGGGTTCATAATGGCCGTGTCAGAGCTACTAACCCTGAAACAGCTGAGATCCTGGGTTTGAATCAACATTTCAACCGCCAGTAGTTAAACCAGGTTGTCAAGTGCGGTGAAGTGATTGTATGTCAATTCAAGGCACCACGCTGTCAAATGTATTCTCTCCAACAATAGATCAGTCAACAGTAAGTCAATATTTCTGCCCACCCTACTCCGAAGGACCGTTTCCCAAAACGTTAGACATTTGATACATTTTTTTTCTGTTGAAGGCCTTGTTAATTACAAAGCTGTTGAATATCTTTAAAAACGTTGCGTTTGTGCACTGCTGCCAACGAAATTCCTTAATATGCATTTTACCTGATGCTTGTGGCAGATTGATATCAGGAGAATGTTCAATTTCATCTAGCCTTTGGCTAAAATGCACCAACAATGGGCAAATAGCCAAAGGAATTAGAAATACCTTGGCAAATGGCCAAGGCACTTCAACCATAAATCTTGCATGTTTGCGCGCATGTGCAAGGTAGCACAGTGGGGAGTGCAAGCGGTGCATGTGCCAGTCATCTCGCTCAGTTTATCCATGACTCCTGGGTCACACCTGGATCTGTCCCATGACCTCTTTGCCAGCCAGCGAGCCTTGGACACTTCACGTGATGATCTCAAAGTGCACCTCGCACCCAAGAGCCCCGCAGTGATGACATCGCTCTCACTCGATGGCAAATGACAGCGGCTGTTGTTTGTTTGTCGTCGTCGTCGCGTGCGGGGTGAGCGGCAGGGCCTGGTGGACGAGTACTCATTGCGGCTAACGTCGGGCGTTGCCGCCCTCGCCTGCTGCTCCCTCTACGGCATCAGCCACTACCTGCGACGCTGGGTGGGGCTGATGGCGCTGAGCGCCGACGGCAGCACGCTCCGTGTGTCGCACCTCTCCTTCTGGGGCGGGCGCCGCGACCGCTTCGTGCCCGTGGCGGACGTGGTGCCGCTCTCCGAGGGCCGTGACCGACCCCAGGACCCGCTGCTAGCGCTGCGCTGCTACTCGCACCGCGACGTGCTGTACTTCTCGCTGCGCTACGGCCGCGTGCTCGACGGCGTGAAATTCCGCGCCGTCTTCGGCGATACGTTCGTCTCACCGGATCGGTGATGGTGAAAATAAAAAACACACCATGCTGCCGTAAGAATGTGGAGTTGAAACCACTGGCACAGAACTAATATTGGCGAGCGGGATAAGAGGCTCGTTTGAGCAGGAAGACATGCTCTTACATCCCCTTCCTACAAACGTCCCAGCCGTCCCAGCCGTCCCAGCCGTCCGTGCTGTTGACTCCCTGCGTCTATCCAAGTCCAGGCTCGAGACCTTCATTTTCCGACCGACTGCCTCTCCCTACAAATATAAACACTTCTCCTGTCACCGTACATCTTCTTGAGATGCAGTAACATCTAAGCGCTATATTATTCCACGTTGTATCCCTTATGGGGCCGATTAACCTCCAATAAAACTTTAACTGGCGACCTCCGACTGCCGAGTCGAGTGCCCTGAGCATACTGCCACCTCGCTGGGCGTTGTGCCGTCATTGCGCAAAACTGTTGTTTTTAAAACAACACTTTTAATCTTTAAACGAACTGTGTTTAAACGGTGTGTGTTAAGGAGCCCAGTACCCGTGGAACCTGTGAAGCGCAATGTTTCATTGTCAACAAGGGTCATAATCTGATGAAAATCTGCTCGATAATCAACTCTTTTGAGTTCTATTCTTGGCCACAGCTGACATCAGTGGTGAGTGATAACCAAACTGGTCCTGGGCACTCCCCCGACTCTCACCGACCAGCGTGGTGAAGTATGTTTAAACCCCCATATAACCGGCATGGCATTCGTCCAGCGGTGTATTAAACAAGGGCTGTACATTCTACATTCTTGTGTAGTGCTTGTGTAAGATTACGCTGCAAATGGAATGGAAGCTCCCGTAATTCTTAGGCTTGCCAGCTTTGTTTTACTTTTTATCCAATATAAATACAAAACGTGAAAATAATTCAATCGGATCTCGTGATGGTTTACACGTGCGTTTTACACTTACGTCAGTTGCGGCTGTAAAGGTATAGCCAGGGACTGGTGAACTCGTTAACACATCATTTACAACAGCCCATAAAGTCACCCAGGTCAGCGGTTCAAATGCCAGCCAAAGGTCAACTCAGCCCATCATCATCATCCTCCGGGGGTCGATAGAATTTGGCAATACCACTTTGTGGGAAGCCAACAGTGGATAGACTCCCACTTGCCATGGGAATGTGGAATGTGCACCACTGGCCGAGGAAGGACTACCAGCAGAGATGAGTACTGTCCAATGCTCATATACGGAGAGACAATCTAGTTTACTTTTGTTGATAGAAATAAACTACTGCCCTTTGTCATCCATCCACTGTTAATAAATGAAACCACTGCTGGAAGTAGACCTCCCCACCAGGGGGCGGGGGCTGTTTGACCATACTTCACCACGCTGGTCCACAGCCACTGCTGTTATCCGTCGCCAGGAATCGAACTCTGCGGGTTATCTGGATTCACAGCGGAGTGCGCTGACCATTGCACCACAGCTCGCCAAAGTTTAGATTAATTGACAGGTACATTCTTTTGGGTCTTTCGGTAAAGTCACGGAGATAGGCTCTATCTACGCGACTTTACCGAAAGACCCAACAATATGAATTCCTGCAGCTGCGAAAGCTTTAAGTCAAGGTTTCATTGACAGGTGTTGTTTAACCCAGTCCCGAGCGGCTTTAATGTGCACGAGCGACGCAATACTGCACGTGTTTTATTACTTAGCGTGGTTGTAAAAAGGTGCTTTCGTTTGACAGCCGATAAGGAGGCGGATTCGATTTCAGTCTGTGAAGGATGTCAGCTCATTGCTTCATTTAACGAGCCTTGGGACCCCATGCTAGACCTTGGGAGTTTATGAAGGCCTCACGACTGAGGTCTCTACGGTATATGGAGACGTTTACTGTTTGACATCGACAATTACAATTCACCACGATCATTATTCTGACGTCGTATTCGACGAGTAAATTGACTTGGCCAGCTGGCTACATCGCCTATTGGCGCGGGATAATAGCCGATGGCACGAGACGGTTGAATGAGGGGAAGGGTTCCAAGGCTCTAGGACAAGCACCACCGTCATGAGCGATGTCAGTGATGGGATCAGTTCACGTGCGGGGAGATGAGAGGACCAATGGTGGGCGGTTGGGGAGGCCTCCATCCAGCGGTGGATAGACAATGGCCCGTTCTAAATAACGATTTTGAACACTTAGAACGATAACATGAAATGGCTTCATCGCCACAGAATACGTTGAAAGGCAAGGCCATTAAGCAAAGGGCTGTTTATTTTTAGTATTTGCAAAATGCAAAACCCCTGGATCTGCCGTCTCCCCAGGCTCATCAGTCGGGTTGCAGTGGCCACGTGTATAATTCATGTCGGGAGGGTAGAAAAGCTATTGCTGCATTTAGAGTGATCATCATCAGTGGTGGTGGTGGTGGTGGCCTCGGGCGAAATAAAACTAAGCAAACGACGAGGGGCACAAATAGCTCAATGTGTCGCCGGCTCATAAACAGCGTGAGATTAACATCAGCTGGAATTCAAATTCTCAAAAAAAATTTTTATCCCAGTGATATTAAAATAAGCTGATTCATCTTATCTATCGAGTCGGCATCTATATTCACTCTCGTATCGCTCTGTATCGTCTCTTAAAAAGAGTCTACATGTACAGCGCTGTCTCATCGGTATCTCTCGTCTCCATATATCTCTCACTGGTCTGAATATTCTCTGCTCTCGTTTCACCAAATCGAAGAGGGGGTCTCCAAATATCTTCTTGGTTCTTTCGGTAAAGTCACGTAGAAGGGAAGTAATAAAGTAAAATAATAAAAATAAAACATTATTATTTTATTACTTACCTTCTACGTGATGACTTTACCGAAAGAACCAAGAAGATGAATCCCTGCAGTCACGAAAGCTTTAAATCAAAGGTCTCCAAATACTTTCTGCTTCGGCCCCCTTGCTAATAGGGGGGGGGGGGGGAGGTTATAGCCAAACACTCATTCGTGTAAAGGTCCACACTGTGTAAGCAGTACCCTCCTGGATAGAAGCCTTGAGACTCGGCGGCGAGGATTTCCTGGCTCAACAAAAGGAGCACAATGCCACCGTTGACAGCTGAACCAAAACACAATTGCACCACAACAATACTGTCCAGTCTGGATTTGAAGCTTTCGTGACTGCGGGGGATCCATTCGCTTTGGTTCTTTCGGTAAAGTCACGTGGGTAGAGAATAGGTCTCGACGTTTCGATCGCAACGCAAGCGACCGTCATCAGGTGAGACAATCACAGCAGGGAAACTGCTGAACAAAATGTGAAGGGTCAATTCATGGGGGGGGGGGGGGGGGGGAGCTCAAGACATCTGGACCACTCTGTAGAGCACGTGGAGTTGCCGCTATTTCATGGACTAACAAAAGACAAAGGCCCCCCCCACCGTGTAGCCTTAACAGACTGTTTGGGTCAAGTGCTGTGCGCGAGTAGCACCCATGAAGGGCCGCCCGCCGGCACTGTGGAACACGAGAGGGTGGGTGGCGGTGACGTCCCCGCGGCGCTCGTGCCAGGCTAGGTGCACACTGAGGGCCATCACGTGCCGTGTGGACAGGTCACGGGACGGGCTCGGGTCCCATGACTGGCGCACAAAGACAAAGATCCCCCGTGTAGCCTTCACAGACTGGTTGGGGCAAGTGCTGTCAGCGAGTAGCAGCAGCACCGATGAAGGCCACCGACACTGTGGCACACACACAGAGTGGGGTGGGTGGCCAGCCACCACGCCCGGCCGCCTTTGTCTCCCCTTACCGGGTACTCATTTGAGGCTGAGTCGACCTAGGGGAGGCCCAGGACCGGTTCAGATAATCGTCACTCGTTGGTGACCGTGAGCGGGGAATCGAACTCGGTTCGTAGCGCGGCAGCGGCGCGCTAACCACTACACCCACCGCTCCCCATTGGCTGGCGTACACCCCCACACGGACTCACACACACAATGTTGTAACGCAGCCAAACTCGACAACATATTCACAAACACGCATCTTGCACACATCCACGTTTACACCCATTATAATATAACGTGTATTGAACAATCGCACGCACGCACAGATCCACAGCTCCCCTTAGTAAATGAAATACATCAGGGTCGGTAAAACCCCCGGTGGACACAATCACCATCACCACCACCAGCATCACCACAATCACTACCAGCATCACCACCACCAGCACCATCATCACCACCAGCATCACCACCACCATCACCACCAGCATCACCATCATCACCACCATCATCACCAGCACCACCACCAGCACCATCATCACCACCACCAGGATCACCATCACCACCAGCATCACCACCATCATCATCATCACCACCACCAGCACCACCATCACCACCAGCACCACCAGCATCACCACCACCAGCACCATCATCACCACCACTACCATCACCACCATCATCACCACCACCAGGATCACCATCACCACCAGCATCACCACAATCACCACCAGCATCACCATCACCACCACCAGCACCACCATCACCACCAGCATCACCACCACCATCACCACCAGCATCACCATCACCACCAGCATCACCATCATCACCACCATCATCACCAGCACCACCACCAGCACCATCATCACCACCACCAGGATCACCATCACCACCAGCATCACCACCATCATCATCATCACCACCACCAGCACCACCATCACCACCAGCACCACCAGCATCACCACCACCAGCACCATCATCACCACCACTACCATCACCACCAGGATCACCAGCACCACCATCACCACCAGCATCACCATCACCAGCATCACCATCACCACCACTAGCACCACCATCATCACCACCACCATCACTATCATCACCACTAGCACCAGCACCACCACAATCACCACCACCAGCACCACCATCACCACAATCACCACCATTATCACCACCACCACGGATTATCACCAGCACCACCAGCACCACCAGCACCAGCACCACCACCATCATCACCACCACCATCACCACCACCATCACCACCATCATCACCACCACCATCACCACCACCAGCAGCATCATCACCACCAGCATCACCAGCAGCATCACCACCACCACCACCATCACCACCACCAGCACCACCACCAGCATCACCAGCATCACCACCATCACCAGCATCATCACCAGCATCACCACCACCACCAGCAGCATCACCAGCATCACCACCATCACCAGCATCATCACCAGCATCACCACCACCACCAGCAGCATCACCAGCTTCACCACCATCACCACCACCAGCATCACCACCACCACAGATTATCACCACCATCTGCGGCGGGGCGAGTGTTACCATGGCGCTCACGCAAACCGGACCGATCCCGTTTGAGCCGGAGAGATTTACTCTCTCCCCTCTCTTTTTTTTCTCTCTCCCCTCTCTCTCACGCCACTCTCCCCCCCACCACCACCACCCTCTCTCACACACACTCACTCCCCTTTCTCTCTCTCTCTCTCTCGTGTTGTGTTGTCTTCCCGTCTCGATCTCTCTCTGTCCTTTCCGGCTGTCATCTCTCCTCATCTCTCTCTCACCTCCTCCCCCTCTTCTTTCTCTTCTCTCTCTCAGCTCTCGCCCTCCGTACTAACAATTCATCCATGTACCCTTCCATTAGCGCTAACCCTATTCCTCAACGCTTATATTAACCATTATCATCATCCTGAACCTAACCCTCCACCTTACCCCTAAACCAACTCTAACCGTTAACCCTGAACCCAGCCCCTACAATTATTAACCTTATTCCTAAACGTACCTTTTACCCTCGCCCCTAACCCTGAACTCCACCGTCACCTTAACCCCTTCTAACCCCAACTGCGACCCACGCCGCAAGAGAGCACCTGGGAGCCGGTTCAAAGTGCCACCGCTCTCTCTCTGTGTGTGTGTGGACTGTATATGGGGGCAGTCCTATAGAGACTGCATCGAGCCTAGACGAGCATCGGCACATGGAGGTGGAGGAGACGACACCCGGCTCCACGTGATACAGGTGCCCACACACCCCACACACCCCTGTCATGTACCTGTCTATAGACACACCACACACACTCACCTGTACCTGTGTCTAGACACACCCACACTCACCTGTACCTGTGTCTAGACACTCCACACATACTCACCTGCACCTGTCTCTAGACACACCACACACACTCGCCTGTACCTGTCTCTAGACACACCACACACACTCACCTGTACCTGTCTCTAGACACACCCACACTCACCTGTACCTGTCTCTAGACACCACACTCGCCTGTACCTGTCTCTAGACACACCACACACACTCGCCTGTACCTGTCTCTAGACACCACACACACTCGCCTGTACCTGTCTCTAGACACACCACACACACTCACCTGTACCTGTCTCTAGACACACCACACACACTCGCCTGTACCTGTCTCTAGACACACCCACACTCACCTGTACCTGTCTCTAGACACACCACACACACTCACCTGTACCTGTCTCTAGACACACCACACTCACCTGTACCTGTCTCTAGACACACCCACACTCACCTGTACCTGTCTCTAGACACACCACACACACTCACCTGTACCTGTCTATAGACACACCACACTCGCCTGTACCTGTCTCTAGACACACCACACATACTCACCTGTACCTGTTTATAGACACACCACACACACTCACCTGTACCTAGACACACACCTGTACCTAGACACACCACACACACCTGTCATGTACCTGTACCTAGACACACCACACACACTCACCTGTACTTAGACACCCCACACACACCTGTACATATACACACCACACACACTCACGTGTACGTAGACACACCACACACACTCACCTGTACATATACACCCCACACACACTCTCCTGTACCTAGACACACCACACACACTCACCTGTACCTAGACACACCACATACACCTGTACCTGTGTCTAGACACACCACACACTCACCTGTACCTGTACCTAGACACACCACACACACTCACCTGTACCTGTACCTAGACACACCACACACTCTCACCTGTACCTGTCTCTAGACACACCACACACACTCACCTGTACCTGAGTCTAGACACACCACACACATTCACCTGTACCTAGACACACCACACACACTCACCTGTACCTAGACACTCCACACACACTCACCTGTACGTAGACACATCACACACACTCACCTGTACCTAGACACACCACACACACTCACCTGTATGTAGACACACCACACACACTCACCTGTGTCCAGACACACCACACACACTCACCTGTACCTAGACACACCACACACACTCACCTGTCTAGACACACCACACACACTCACCTGTACCTAGACACACCACACACACTCACCTGTGTCTAGACACACCACACACACTCACCTGTACCTAGACACACCACATACACTCACCTGTACCTAGACACACCACATACACTCACCTGTACATATACAGATCACACACTCACCTGTTCTCTATCTCTGCCTTTAGACTAAACGAACACCTGTTTTTTTATTATATTGATAAGATCAAGAGCACACTCCTGTTCTATAACTGTACAGTACACATAGACCAACACACAAACACTTGGGACGAATACATTAGACAGATGTTGTGTTCCCTGTATAAATACGTGGGATCCTAATCTATATCGCAGGTAGGTGCTCTGTGCAGGTGACATAGTACGGCGTCTGGTCCACACCTGTGTAGACGATGTTCACACCTGAGTCCCTCATTAGCGTAGCAAGCAGGCGCACGACACTTTAAAGGTTAAGCGATACAGTGCAGACACACACACGGGATCCTAAATTAAGACCGGTGGTAAACATGGAACGGTGGGGCAACGTTGGCCTCGCGGTGCCAACGGTCGGGCCGCGTACGGTGCGAAAGAAGTTCAACAACAGCAACAACCGCCATTCGCCACTAAGTGGCGGTGACGTCACCACGGCGCTTGTGCCAGGCTAGGTGCACGTTGAGGCCACGTGAAGTGTCGAACGCCCGCAGGCAGGAGGTTCACGGGACGGACCCAGCAGGTGCCACGGGTTGCCTGACTGATACACCCCCTGTGCTCCCTACTGTGCAAAATACACACACATCTGGAACTTTAACCTCGGCAGACAGGTGTTGTACATTTGTCGAGATTTAAAGTCGTGGAGTCTGGCCACAAGGCGAGAGAGAGAGAGCTATGTTTAGGTTTTGAAGGCAGGCTTTCTGCCGCTGCTACACACCACGGCGTCTGTTTTCACAGGGGGCGGGGAAATGAGTGAGAATCTGTAGTGGAGGGGTGGGGGGTCCACGCAGGAGGAAACACGTGGTCTACGGGAGGCTTGAGCCGATGTTTGATATGTGGTAGTCCCTCGGTTCACGTTTGTAATCCGTTCCACGAAGATTACTGTTAACCGAAATAACTGTAGATCGACTGTAGACGAATTGCACGTTGAAAGCATTCATCCGTTCCGAGGCGGTCGGAAGTTGACCTTTTTGACCCTAAACACATCGTATGCAACATTTAAACACTCAATATCAATAAATAAGCATGATAAGAAGACGTTAAATAAGGGGTCGTCCATAAATGACGTCACGCATCTGGGGGGGGTGGGTCAGACATTTGTGACGATCTGTGACGATGGGGGTGAGAAATGTGACGTCACATCAAAATGCGCAACTTTAAATAAATATAGACAACACGTTCTACTTACATTTTGATTTAAAGCTTTCGTGACTGCAGGGATTCATATTCTTGGTTCTTTCGGTAAAGTCACGTAGAAGGGAAATAATAAAATAATATTGGTGTTATATATTAATATTAGAAGGGAAATAATAAAATAATATTGGTGTTATATATTAATATTATTTAATATCAATATTATTTTATTATTTCCCTTCTACGTGACTTTACCGAAAGAACCAAGAATACGTTCTACTTAGTTAAATAGACTTTTTAACAAATGTTTTCTCCTACAACATCAAGAGTGCAGCGGCACATTAAATACGCACTACAATGAGAATAGTTTAAAGAGATTTGAAGCATGTTTTATTTTTTTTGGGGGGGGGGGCAGAGCTTTGTGACGTCATATTTGAGGGGGGGGTCTGACTTTTTGTGACGCCGTGTGATGACGGGGGGGGGGGGATCAAAAATCGTTCAAAATCGCGTGGTAGCTGCCTCCCCTGGTGCTGTTTCATTGCTGTTTCATGACGAGACCAGCGAGCCTAAGTATCTTTATACACATCGTGAAATAAGTTACCTGGATTATGGAAGGCGAGGACATGAAATGACGGGGTCTACAAACATTACATTGGTGACATACTGAGATAGTAACAGGCAGCTCGTCGCTGCCTCACCTCTCGTCTCTTCTTGTATTTGCAGCGGAGCTCCGCAAATTTGGCGATTTTGACGATAAAAATGATTGTAATCGTACAGAAATTACATTTATAACAACAGATCAGTGGAAAAATCTTAATATTTATTTGATTTGATTATTATTTTTTTACTTTTCGTAACAGCTATTTTCATTGGAGTATCACAGGTGAGGCTCTGCCTCCCCTGCCTCCCCTGACCGCGGATCCCTGCAGGAGATACATCCTCATTGGCTGTGTATAGTATGTGTGTGAATTTTAGTGTTGTGGTGTATAGGGTATGACTATAGACTTTGTGACCAGTTTATATGTTTACTTTAATGTTTATGACAGTGTCAGTCTTTTTAATGGACTGGGCCCCGCCATTGAAATGTGGAATTTCCGGCTCATGGCCACCAATGGAAATGAGTGCTGTCAGCTCATTCGAGCAGAGAAACACCGACTTCCTCATCTCGAGCGGTGGGCCCGAGCCAGTGGTGAGCATTCCACATTCATATGACGGGGTGCCGGTCCGTCCACGGCAACAACAACAACAACAAATATTGACCCCGACGATGTAAAGTGAAACGGGCTAGAAACGTCAAGCACGCTTCCTTTGTCCACCAACGGCGCAACAGCCTGGATACAAGGAGTGTTTACGTGGGCGCAAATAACAAAGTCTGCGAAACTCTGCTTCGGTCACCCACACAGTGGCACCGCGTGACCCAAACAGAGCGGCGGTGGGGGCGGGATGACCCAGAGTAGTCTCGTAATGGCCGTGACGACGGCGGAACAGCTGAGGTTGTGGATTGGAATAATAATTATTTATATTTTCAGCGAGTAACGTGACGCCACACAGTGTCCGCTTGCTGTCGGAAGGGGAAGAGGGAGGAGAGAGAAGACAACTACTCAGAGGCGAGGGGAGGAACCCACAGACAAGCAGCAAAGCCACACGGTGAGCACACCCCACCCCACAAGCTCTGCGGTCCTCTATATATTAAGATGCTATCGGACAATTAATGAGCGTTTACATTTAGGATGAAACCGGAGCACCCAGACAAACCTCGCGCGCATGAGTGTTTCAGTAGTGCTGTACCACAGCAACCACTGCCACCACCGCCACCCGGCGAAATGCTGTGTGGCATTTCGCTGACCCCGGCACATTTACCACCGTGGGCTGTAGCGCAGTAGCACAGGATCTTGCACCCGTGATCTGGCCTGTTTTTTTTTTTCGGTGGTATTGACAATGTCACGAGGCATTGAATTCCAGAGCAATGCAGGAAACTTCCGTGTTGGGCGAACAGCCCCCGCACTTGGTGGACATCACGCAACCGCTTCTGAGAAGTGACCCACCTTGCCCCAAACCTTTCCACCCACCCTGGCGCAGCGAGTGACCTCCGTCACACGACAGCCCTGCTCGATACGAAGCGGTCTTTTACATTCTCAAGCGCTGGAATTGAGCACAAATGTAGCCAAGTGCAGAAGCAGATTTAATGCGATGGGGAGTTTTGTGCAGACTTTTTTGGTGGTCGGGGTTGAGACATCAACTCACAACATTATATTTGAGAGAACCCAGTTTTAATTGGAGGTAACCGAGACCTGGATTTGAACCCAGGTAGCTCAAGCAATGCCGGTTCGGCCATCTGATCGCCAGAGCCACTTCTGGGTTTTCCAGTCCCATCGATGTATCATGAGATAGCCATTTCCATAGCAGTGTGTTTTTTTTGGCATTGTTAGACTAAGAATATATTGTAATCAATAAATGCACTGTAACACCTGTATTGCCACAGATCCTGCAAGTGTAGTGTAGTTATTGTCTCAGTCTTTTGTTACCCAATGACTGCTTAAAAACCCATGAAAAACCCATCCCAGCTTTTGAAATAAAATAAAAAATTAAGTCTGCCTAATAACAAAGTACATTTTTCTTCTTGGTTCTTTCGGTAAAGTCACGTAGAAGGGAAATAATAAATAATAAAATAATAGAAATAAAACATCCTAAAATACAATAATAAAATTATTATGTTTTATTTTTATTATTTTATTATTTCCCTTCTACGTGACTTTACCGAAAGAACCAAGAAGATGAATCCCTGCAGTCACGAAGCTTTAAATCGAAAAATAGTACATTTTACACCCTACATGTTTATATTCTTTGCAATGAATAACTTCTTCAGCAGTCGGATAGCGATTGGAACATCGTTTTGAACAGACATCAAATCAAGTGTATGGCAATGCAACATTTAGCCCTTAAATCATACAGTACTGTAAACTGCAAATATTCGCAAATACTAAAACCCTCTACATAAAAAAAAAAATGTATGTATATATATCAATTTTTTTTTACAGATGCCAGAATAGTTATCCATTTTTTGGGGGAACATGTAACGTGTAGTTTTCCTCATCCCACGACAGATGTAATCGTTTACAAAAAAAGGCACGTTCCGTAGCATAGCCTCTGGCGGATGACATTGCAAAAAAAAATTTGAGGTCCATGTCCTTGCCGCTCAGCCATACAATACTGGGCGGGAGTAGCGACCGGGTTCCCAGAGGGGAGGGATTCATTTCTTTGCAACTGCCTTTGCGTGTTTAGTTTGATGTCTTCCCTCACTACGTACAGTGCGACAGAACCTCTTCTTGGTTCTTTCGGTAAAGTCACGTAGAAGGGAAATAATAAAATAATAAAAATAAAACATAATAAAATACAATTCTCACGACGTTTCGGCCACAACGCAAGCAGCCGTCCTCAGGTGAAGAACAGGTCTGTTCGTCTGGCTTGGTGTTCATTGGTGTTCATTCAGACGCTGTCTTTCCGACAGACCTGTTCTTCACCTGAGGACGGCTGCGTGCGTTGTGGCCGAAACGTCGTGAGAATTATTTTATGTTTTATTTTTATTATTTTATTATCTCCCTTCTACGTGACTTTACCGAAAGAACCAAGAAGACGAATCCCTGCAGTCACGAAAGCTTTAAATCGAAATAATAAAATAATAAACTGAAAACTATTTTATTATGTTTTATTTTTATTATTTTATTATTCTCCTTCTACGTGACTTTACCGAAAGAACCAAGAAGACGAATCCCTGCAGTCACTAAAGCTTTAAATGGAAATTTAGTGCGACAGAAGTTCAACATACATACGGACGGAGGTAGAAATTCCACATCTCGATGGCAGTCCCAAGTACACCATAAAGACAGCCACTGTCATGGACACTAAAGTAAAACATGTTAACTTAGTCACACATTCTGTAGTCATACCCGATACGTAATACACACTTTAGATACAGGACTTAACACCACACTGAATGATTTATAATTGTATTTCTATAATTTTAATTTTTATTTTTACCTACGTGACTTTACTGAAAAAACCTAAGCGTATGAATCCTTGCAGTCACGAAAGCTTCAAATCTAGAACCACACTGCAATACTGTACACACATACTATACACAGGCAATGCGGACGCATATTCTGTACATAGCGGGATAGGTGGCGTTTAGAGACATTCTTCACGTGGCAATCAGACCAACAGCTGTCGTCCTCACAGCTGGAATATATCTCGATGCTCAAGCCTCCCGTAAATCACGTGACTTCTTCGCGGCCACGCCATCTCTGAACCCCTCCCACCCCCCTGTCGCCGCCCACTCTGAAAACAGACTCTGCTCCTCCGTGCAGGAGCAGCAGCACCGAGGCACCTATAGGAGCCTCTTCCTCATCTCTCCTGACGCTTTGCTTTCATTTCTTGATTTATTTTACATTCCTCCTCCTCTGCTTTCCCATTCTATCTCTTCTCTCTCCCTCCCTTCCCCCTTTTTTTCCCCATGCCTAACATCCTAATATTATTGTAATTAATACAGCGCCTATACCAAGCGCGCATTACGGAGAATTAACAGCGGTAGGTACGATGCTGTTGGCATGAATGATGCTATATAAAGTGAAGTTATTCTTATCATTATGAAAGTAATGGTGCAGATATGGTGAATGAAATAGATGAGGAATTGAAGGTGGTCGAAATCGCGATGCGTGAATGAAGCAAAAGAGAAATTGACGAGAGCAAATGATGATGAATGGATTGGATGGATGGGGAATGAGTGGTCGTCATTGAGAGAGATTACGAAGAGGGAGCAGGGGACGGCCGTGGTTAGAAGGGGGGAATTAAGGGATGAGCTAGGGGGAAAGAAAAAGTGAGTGTTGAGTTAGGAGCGGAAACTCGTGAGTGAAGGTGACCCCTGAATGTGGAGGGGGAAGTTTGTTCCAGTGAAGGGGGCGAGCAGAGAGAAAGAACGAACGCGTGATCAAGCACAAGGACTCCCCCCCTGACTCGACTTCCCCTTCCCGTGCCACAGGTACCAAGCTGCTGGCTAGTACCGGATTCATTGAAAGGCCCAACTTCAACGCACCGATTTTTTTTGCGTGCGATTGTTTGTGACCGGGCTGACGCCATCACCTCACTGCACCCGCAAGCCCAATTCCATCACCGGTGGCCACCTGGATTCAATCACAGGGACGCAGCCATGCCGCCTCGTTATCCGTGACACGGCCGTCACGAGCCACCTTCAATACTCACGGTGATGTCCTGCTACTCAAATGAGCGTCGCGGCATTTGTGCCCATGCCCTGCAGAGCCAGTGGTGGACGTTCCACATTCGGACAACCACTGTGAACTTCCCCACGACCCCTCCTTCCAATTGTCAGCCGCTCCCTCTTCCGCTCTGTCTCCTGTTGAGTCGCGTAGCCAGACTGGCCCGGATATGAGAGTGAAACCATTGGGAGGTTGGAGGGGCGGGCGGGTTATGGCTTTGCCATGCGGTGAAAACATGGTGTGGACTCCCGGAGGGAGAGCGAGAGAGACACGTGATACCGCCGTGACATTATTTTACCACGTAAGGTCCACTGAGCTATATAGCCACAAATGATAGCTCAACGAAGCAGCTTATCACGTGGAAATTGATAGCAGCCGAATGCTCTTAAACGCATGTTTCTCAGTGTGGGGGCAAGAAAAATTCACGCGATCGAGGGGAGAGAGACACGCAAACGCCAAATAAACAGGCATTGTCAGGGTTAACATCTCACCACCTCAACGGTATATCTCTATGCGTGTGAATATATCTCTATGCGTGTCTGTGTAGACATCTCTATGATTGTGTGTGTGTGTACAGCGTGGTCCAAATGTCTTGTGACTCCCCCCCCCCCCTGCCATTTAATTCTCTAAAAATCTTTTTTTAAATTAAAGTAAGGTTTATTTAAACAAATAAATTACAATGCAATGGGGCAAAAAATTGTTAGGGGTCAATAAATTGGAGGTCACAAGACATCCAGAACACCCTGTACACAATCCTACGAGTGACTCAATACAGTTTAACCCGCATTAGGCTTTCGCGACCAATATTATTCATAATAGAGGCTTTTTTTTGGGTTAGATCGCGTAAATATAAATGTGTCGTTAAGCCCGCCACCACCCGACACAGCCAATTAGTAAGGTTTGTTTCGTTACTAGTTCAGCACGCTGGTGTAAATGTTGTGGGTTTACTCTCCAACACACCGTTGTGCTGAACTAGTCACGAATTGCCATGTTTTGTTCAGCGTGACAAACCTAACTAATTGGCTGTGTCGGGTGGTGGCAGGATTAACGACACATATTTACGTGATCATACCACAGATTAAAAAAACACCTCTTATGGATGACTCCATACAAACACGCAGTGAGCCTTGCGTTGCTTCCTTTGCTTGGGTATCCTCCGCAGAGTCCATCCTATTCGGTTTACCCGACACGGACTGTTGAAGCCGTGGTGGTGGCAGTGCTGCTGGCGGTGCCTGGTCGCGGTGAAGACGGCGACGACGGTGGCGGCGACGACGGTGACGACGGTGGCGTCTGTGGGCGGGCCATGGCGTGCTGGTGGGGGCGGCTGTGTGCGCCGCGCGTGTACCCCGTCGTCCCCGACGGCGGCTGGGGCTGGGTGGTGGTGGGCGCCCTCTTCTCCATCAGCGCCGTCACCATCGGCTCGTTCAAGGCGTACGGCGTGTTCGTGCCGGAGCTCATGGCGCACTTCGACACGCACGCGCGCGGTGTCTCCTGGATCTTCTCCATCTGCATGTTCGTTGTCGCCTTCTGCGGTGAGACGTCATTGCCCGCCCGCCCGCCCGCGTTACCCCTTTCCGCGCCCCCCCGCACCACCCCCCCACCACCAACTTTGGGACAACGGTTCCAATCACATTGATCCCACCACGTACCAACATTGGTCCAACCGCATGCAAACGTTGCTCCAACCACACGCTAACGTGCTGTCGCCCCCCTCCGCGTGCCTCCCTCCCAGCCCCCGTCACCACGGTGCTGGGCAACCGCTTCTCGCCGCGCGCGGTGGTGATGGTCGGCGGCGTCATCACCAGCGTGGGCACCATGAGCACGGCGCTGTCGCACACCCTGACGCACGCCTACCTCACCCTGGGGCTCGTCACCGGTGGGCACAACTCGGCCATACCAACACCCGCCGTTCACCGCTAAGTGATGGTAACGAGGGCTCACTGCTGGCAGGAGGTCACGGAACAGACCCAGCAGGTGCCATGGGTTGGCTGACTGAGATGACTGTCGAATGCTAGCAGCTGTACCCCCCCTACTGTGCCAGCTTGCTGCATTTTAGCCGTCCGCCGCTCCGCTCGTTGTCGTGAGCGTCACTCCTCTGCCCTCCGTTGTTGTTGGAGGTCGACTGCCTCCAACTATCCAGTAACGTCCTTCATGAGCCTCACACACAACTCACACACGTACACACACAAACAGACAAAGATCTCCCGTGTAGCCTACAACAGGCGGTTGGGGGCAAGTGCTGTTTGCGAGGAGCACCAATGAAAGCCGCCACGGTGCACAAAGGGTGGCCAACACCACACCCGGCCCGGCTGTTGTCTCCCCACCACTGATGTTTACTACACACCGCAACAGGTACTCATTTAAGGCTGAGTCGACCTGGTGGGGGGGGGGTCTTTGATCGCTTCAGATATTTGTCACTGGTGGTGGCCGTGAGCGGGAATCGAACTCGGGTCCCTGCCGGGTTCATAGCGCAGCGCACTAACCACTGCGCCACGGCCCCCCACAAAACAAAGATCCCCCGTAGAGCCTTGACAGACTTTATGAGCGAGTGCCGTTCGCGAGCACCTACGAAGGCCGGCATGGCACACGAGGGAGTGGGAAGCCAGCACCACGCCCGGCCACTTTTGTCTCTCCAGTGGCGAAGTTTTTTACACACCACACCAGGTACATATTTGAGGCCGAGTCAAGCTAGGGGAGGCCCGGGACCGGTTAAGATAATCGTCACTGGTGTTAGCCGTGAGCCGGAATCAAATTTGGGTCACCGGGTTCGTAGCGCAGCGCGCTAACCGATAACACTTCTGCTCCCCACAACAACCGCCATTCGCCACTAAGTGACAGTGACATCACAACGACGCTTGTGCCAGGCTATGTGCACGTTGAGGCCACGTGAAGTGTCGAACGCCCGCTGGCAGGAGGTCACGGAGCAGACCCAGGTTCCACAGGTCGACTGAGATGACTGGCTGATGCACCACCTGTGCCCCCTACTGTGCCAACTTGATGTGCCTGGCGCTCTGCTCGTTGTTGTGAGCGTCGCTCCTCTGCCCTCCGTTGTTGTTGGAGGGCGACTGCCTCCAACTGCCCAGTAGCGTCCTTCACGAGCCACCTCCACATAGGCCGATCTTGACACCGCTGGTACCAGTCATCGGTAAGTCTACTCAGCTCCACGTCCTCCTGTACCACATCACTCCATCTCTTCTCTAACCCGTGTCGCGCCCGTTTAGCCCCCTCGATCCGGCCAAACAAAAGCTGTTGAAGCATGCAGTGGCTGGGCATGTGGGCTACATGACCCAGCCAACACAACCTTGCCTGCTGGAGGAGGTCACAATCCAACCTGGTTAAACCCAGGATGGATCGTAAGCAGGCCAGCCTAAATGTTTCTAACCGACGACGATGCTCCATTAGGGGGGTCCACGTTTAGCAAGCGTAGAGAAGGGAGGGAATGAACGTGGCTGAGAAGACCTCGCTTCATGCGGAGCAACAGAACAGGTAGCTTCCACACAGCGTTATGCAGCCAATGAAAAGATAATGCCGTTCGAGTGATTCGGAGTGAGACCTCTGCTGTCAAACCGGAGCCGGTCATGAGCACACTGCCCAGGTATGGGAAACTCTCCACTCTCTCCACAACAGCCCCATCACCAATTGGGAGTTGTGGGGGTGGAGTGTCCGATGGTACAAAATACCCAGGCAGGTGCTCAGTTTTGGTGGGGCTGATGGTAAGGCCCCACCTCTTAGTGGCAAGCTCCAGGTTCAGCAGCAGCACCTCCAACTCCTCCTCTGAGTGAACAGCAATTACCAGATCATCGGCATACATAACGTGGTTGACCAATAGGGAGCCATCCCTTGACCGCACCCGGGCATCGATCAGCCTCCCATTGCATCTGTATCAGATGTAAATTCTTCCGGTACAGCCATCGAAGGCTTTACGAACTACGTGGTCGAAAAAGATGTTAAATAATGTGGGAGCCAGAGGACATCCCTGTCGCACCCCAAGGTGTACAGGGAATGGCTCCGACTCCCGGACACGTAGTTTTACCTGGGCCCATCACCATCATGTCGGTCCTTAATGATCGTGAGCAGAGGGTCAGGGACTCCGAAAGCACGAAGAATAACCCAGAGCCCAGGGCTACTGATGGTATCATAGGCTTTGACCAGGTCAATAAAGCAGAGATGTAGGTTTTGTTGGAATTCCCTACACCTCTGCTGTAACAGACGGACAGAAAATATGGCATCTGTGCAAGACCGCCCTTTCCTGAAACCGCATTTGGGCTCCACAAGCCTCTCCTCAGCGTGCCTGGCAAGGCGATGTTGAATAATCCTTGCCAGGACGTTTCCCGGTACACTGAGGAGTGAGATGCCCCTGTAGTTGTTACAGTCTGTGCGGTCCCCCTTCTTAAAGAGGGGGACTACCAGGGCATCCTTCCAATCCTGCGGAACCCAGCCAGTGGTCCAGACTGTTGTTATGATGTCATGTAGGTTAGTCTGTGCACAAACGCCACCCTCCCTCAGCATTTTGCTTGGGAGATCATCTCTGCCCAGTACCTTTCCTGGTCTCAGACTCCGGATCACCCTCTGTATTTCCTCAACAAATGGGGGTGATTTCTTCCAATATTTGAGACACCGCAGCCTCAGCAGGGTCATCCCCACTTTGTCCCGCAATGTTTTCCAGACTGAGGGATTTCCCTTCCCCCAGGACCTCACAGAAATGCTCAGCAAATCTGCAAACCTGTTCCTGGGGGTTGGAGATTGGATTACCGTTCTTTCCCCTAATGATGGTAATAGGTGTGGCGCTGCAGGTTACTTTGTTGTTGGAGTTAAAGAGCGATTTAAGGTGGAGGGGTTACCAGGCCCTCGCACCCATCCAAAGCTCCCATTTGGCCGCTGTGGTGGTTACAAACACCATGAGGGGAAAGGCCAATCTAAATTGGTCCTCCCCCCCACGGCACTGCCCACCGCAGCGTTGCCGTCCAGCAGCAACGAGGTAGGGGGTTGTTTTTGTACACTCACACACACACACGTGTACACAAGAAAAGCATCAAAGCGATTATTAGCGGCGGTGCTCATCCATCCGCAGCCCTGAGACAGCGGAGGGCGGGGTGGCCGAGTCTATTCCACAGGGTGAAGCTCTCGTTGACCTCCCTTGTGTGTCGTGGGCTCGTAGGCCTGGGCATCTCGCTGAGCACGCTGCCCTGCTACTCGGCGCTCTCCTGCTACTTCGAGCGGCGCCGAACCCTCGCCATCGCGCTCGCCACAACCGGCGAGTGCCTGGGCACCTTCGCGTTCGCGCCTGGTGAGATGGTGCCCGGGGGGAGGCTTGGGGGGGGGGGAGGCGCCATGCAGTATGCCAGATGACAATAGTTGGCTAACCGCCTGTTTGCTGCCTCCACGGCGCAGGCTTCCAGCGTCTCAACGAGGCCGTGGGCTGGCGCCATTCCTTCCTGGTCATCGGCGCTGGACAGGCGATCATCGTGGCTTGTGGAGTGTTGCTCCGGCCGCTGGAGCTGCGAGCGCCGTCACCTGCCGACCGGCCGGGCCGGCGCCAACCCTGCACCGACGACGGTGCTGCCGTCACCGCCGCTGCCACAATCGTCATCATGCGGGAGAACGAGCAGACGCGGACGACGGTTCACTCCGACGACTCGGGCGTCTGCGTGCAGCTGCCGCCACCAGCGACGGCGGCGTCGCTGTTCTTTCCGGCGCCGGCACAACCGCTCGTTGCCGACGACTTCTGTGCCGGCGGAGACGAGGAGGAAGAGGAATTCGACGAGGGCGGTTGCTCCAAAGCGGCGTCGATTTGGAGCGACGACGAAGCTGGCGCCAACAACGCGAACGACGACGGAAGAGAAGAGCCGGCACCCGCGGCAATGACCTTACTCGACCTCTCGGTGCTGCGAGAGCCCGGCTTCGCCTGCTACGCGCTCTTCGGCGCCTTCATCTCCTTTGGATTCTTCCCGCCGGGGCTCTTCCTGGTGCCGCTGGCGCTGGACGCCGGCGTGCCCGCTACCGAGGCCACTTACCTCCTGTCGGCGATGGCCGGCGCCGAGCTGGTGGGCCGCTCGGCCGCCGGGTGGCTCTTCTCGCGCCCGCTGGCGCTGCCGCGCGTTTACCTCGAGCTGGTCTGCGTGTGCGCCGTCGCAGTGGCGCTTTTCGCCTTCCCCGTGGCGGCCGTCGGCAGCGGCGGCGGCGGCGGCTGGGGGCGGCCGATGGCGGCTCTGGCGTCGTGTAGCGCCGCCTTCGGCCTGGCGTTCGGCGCCGTCGCCGGCACGCACGTGTCCGTGCTGGCCGAGCCCGAGGTGGTGGGGCCGGGGCGCTTCTCCTCGGGACTCGGGGTCTACGTGTTCGTGCAGAGCTTCTCCGGGCTGCTGGGGCCGCCCCTCGCCGGTAGGGCCGGGGCTCCGCGGATGGTTGTCGGAGACGGGCAGAACGCGGCGGGGTGCTGGGGGTTAGCGGCGCGGTTGTGGTATGCGAGAAGGGTCGTGCCCGTCATGGTTGCTTGCCTAGTTATGGTTAGTGGGAGTACGAATAATTAAATTGCACTTTAACGTTTCTAAAGTTTTTTTTTCATCAGTGTATGTTAGCTGCTATGGCGGCATATGATTCATCAACATCGACAGTGAAGATGTAACACAAGCTAAAGAGTGTGCACAGAAGCTTGGAGAATGCTTGGAATTACACTGACAGCCAGAACAAATGCAAGTTCAAACGTTGTATTGACTTAACCCTTCCCCATTCCGATGACGTACGTTTACGTCATCGGAACAGAATTGGAATAAAAAATAAAATAACTTTATCAGTACGTCTTCAGGTCGGAAGACTTCAGGTCGGTAGACTTACCGAGGCTCCCACAAGGCCATGCGGGAGGCTCATGTGGCAGTTTGTTGCCAGCTATCGTGGAGTGCGGCGGTTGTGTCGCGACGGTTCTCTGCGGCGAGTACAATGTCTCTAAATAAAACTAAACGCTGAGCCGCTCGCTCGTTCCGAGAGTTAGCGGTGAACAGGACACCCCACCCTGCAACTTACAGACGTCTCGGAATGGGAAAGGGTTAAGAAGAGCAAAGTCGGCTCGGGGCAGGACACGTCGCTGGCAGAGACGTCGGTGGCCGGTGGCCGAGACTAACGTCGGAGTGGCAACCAACTGAAGGGACACACCCCGAGGGAAAGACACCTCGCAGATGAAGCGATCAAACCGAGCGCGGTGTGCTTCGCAGCATCTCGAGATGCCAACGTTCATCCAGCAGTGGATTGATTATGGCTATGATCCCTCCCTCGCCCCCCCCCCCCCCCCCCCCCCCCCGCTTAGGCTGGCTGGTCGACCTGGCGGACGAAGACTACCTCATGGCGTTCTACACCTCCGGCGTTGCCGTGGCCCTTGCCGCCATTTGCATCGCGCTCGTGCGGCCATGCGCTCTCGAGTTTGGCGGCGGACTTAATTACGTTCAGCGGCAGCGGCGACGGCACCGGCGTTGCTGTGGCGGCAGCTGCTGCTACCGACGTAACCGCAAGCAGCAAGACAACGGAAGTAGCAGCAGCAGCAGCACGGGCGTTAACGCCAACCCTGGCGTCCTGGCGTTTGCGATGCCGTTCGCCGACGACGCCGCCGCCGCCACCACCGAGCTGCTGGAATACCGGAGCGGAGCGGTCGTGCTTCGTGCCGACAGCGCGGAGTTCCTCGAGACGGACCTGCAAGACGCCGTTCGCAAGTGAAACCGCCCCCTCTTGCCCCGCGTGCAGCTGGTGGCACCCGAGGACCACAAAAACAAACGTTTTTTTTTTGGTGGCCTTGTAGCTGGCACACAGGACTCGTGTCCCAGGCTGTCTTATACGAGTCTGAAGATCGCATAATTAAAAAAAAAACAACAACAGAGGCTTCGCCTTTTGGGACGCATCTTCTTCCTTTAACCGACACACGGGGCCAACGTCGCCATGACTCAGAGGGTTCGTCGTCATCCCTGGGGTGCCGCCAGTTAAGCCGCGCCAAGTTACCGTCGGTCGCTCACTGCCCTCCCAACACCTCGTCTCTTAACGACCCGCAAAGTCGTGATAACAAAACCAGCTCCAGTGGCGCTGGGCAGGAATGTAAGATGGCTTCAGTCATGGTTGGAGGAAGTGGTGCTTGTTCAGCTGGGTTGACAGCTATTCTTTTTATTTCAGGAATGATTTATGGTTTGTTTACAATTTATAAACGTTATGGAATCTGACCCAAATGTTTACAGCTCCATTGATTTTACCGAAAATAAGTGAATCACCTCGCCGACCCTGCCACCCCCCCCGTCCCCCCACCAACGCACACCCACAAAATTTGTCGCTGGACCCTTTCAAATACCAAACGACAAACTGAACGCACGCGGGTGAATTGGCGGTATCAGCGGTCAGTCGGCAGCTCGTTTTCAGTGGCCCGGATCCACGTACAAAATCAACAGGATTGTCCGGGTCATGAAGCAAGCACAGCCATAGCAGCGTCTGCACAATGAGCGGTGGGGGGGGGGGGGGGGCGGGCTCGAGTCCCACTTTTAAAGAACAATAACTTTGGTCGAAAAATGAAGTGTGCACCTCCTGAATTTTTTTAGCCAATTTTTTTTTGTTGCTCCTCCAAGCCGTGCCTTTGTCCTCCTTAGAAAATAATCTTTAAGTTGAATTTCGCCGTTTCTGGGAGCCATTCGAGGCCGCTCGTCGGTGAACGGCGACTTGCACCTCCCAAGTGCACTTACACGGTCCATCGTTTGTCAATATGTAAGTTGAAATTATTTTTTTTTTAAATATGCGCCTTGCTGGTCCGCACTTAAAGCCGCGAGTTTTTTGTCGCGACGTCCGAACGCACTTCCACGAGAGTCAGGGTCCTCGCGAGACTCGAGTTTTAATTTCCGTAACGACAATGACGGCTTCAGACACTTGAATTTTTAATCGAGTAATGTATTGCGAAGTCATAGAGGCACTTTTGTTCGCCTTGTCATGAATCCGCTTTGCGTCTCAGCGCGGTAGTTGAAATTAGTTTTTAAACTTTGTTTCGAACGCATGTCACACCGACCCGTTGCATCTTCTTATTTCTAACGAGGATCGACTTTGCGTGCAACTCGCGTGTCAGTCGTCGGCGTGCATCGCACACTTATTTAATGTTCAAACGTGAAACGGCACACTGGAGGCATTTGCGTTGAAATAAAGGATGATGAAACGCAAACATGGAGAAGCAAGTGATCCTCATTTATCATTCGTGACAATAACTTCGCTCTGATGTCCGATTAAATCCCACCCGTGACTTATGCTCGTTTGGCTGAATGTGTCTTGTGGCAACTTTAAAATATTTTTATGGGGGTTTTTATTGCTGTGCAGTACAAAATAAGCAACACTTTAAAGTTAGGACACAAAACATCTGATGCCAGAAAGCAGTGCTGAGTGTAACTCTGAATCCTGTGTTTTGCATGGTTCCAGGAACTGATGTCAGTTCAATTGAGAAAAATATGTACAAATCAAAGTAACAATCATGCCAAGTTTTGAGATCAGTGAAGGAGATTGGTGTTTTTTTTTCTCTCTCTGGTTCAGATAACTCCTTGAGTATGTATGTTGAACTTCTTTCGCGCCGTACGTAGCAAACTGCTAATCGGAGGTACGGGGTCTTCATCTTGGTCTTCGTCATCATATTTGTCTACGTCATCATATTTGTCTATCCAATTATAGTGTCCCTTCCTGTTGCAAGTCAAGTCGTCGATCATACGAGCAATGGAGGCCAGACTTATCTCCCTTACCGACTTCGAGGCAGTGGCGGAAAATCCACATTTCTACGACGGGGGCCAGTTTCACTGTTAACTTCCTTCATTGGGACGCTTTCTTTCCGACAGCTCTGTTGTGTTGTGGCCGCAACGTCGTGAGAATTATTTTATTTTATAGTTTTATATTATTTTATTATTTCCCTTCCTACAAGAGTTGGCACTCATTTCACTGACCCCTGATGGACTGGGCTCCTGGTTGACCTCTGACCTGGATTCGAGCTCACAACCCTCGTGATTCGAACGTCCTAACTACAGCTGCGTTAGTGACCCAGAAAATACATTCACATCCAGGATACCTCCCGCCATGTCCGTGATTAGTATTCACGCACCATTGCCCAGTCATCCCAGCGAAACACTCCGCTACTACTGAAAGCGATTATCTGGCTCAACTGCTTTAATGTAAAATTATACTTGTTGATCGACATCAACATCAGCCATCTTCAGAAGACGAACACTTCCCAGGTCTACCAACTACCAGGAAAACATTCAGCGATAATGTAATAGTTCCTGTGCCCGTGTGTGTGTGTGTGTATCACTTCACAAAATGTTTCTCACTGGCACCGTCACACGGTGAACCTTTGCCGGACGGGTCCACAAATGAAGCCACCACACGATCCTTTCCGCAAGGGGATCAACAAAGCGTCCTCCACACCGTTCCGTCGTGTCCGCTGCCTCGGGGGGGGGCATTAAAGAGACCGCACGACGTCGTCGTCGCCGCCCCATCACGGGCGGTGCTGCGGCCTGCCAGCGTCGCGCCGCACCGATCACTCGCGCCAGTTGTGGCCGCACTGCGCGTTGCAGCACTTGTAGAAGGTGGTCATGGGCTCGTCGGCCGAGCGCGTCTGGATCTGCATGAAGTACGCGCGGGGGTGCTGGCACTTGGGGCACTGCTCTGAAGAGGGGGGGGACAAGACAAAGATCCCCCCCCCCCATGTAGCCTTAACAGACTTTGTGTTGTTCGCGAGTAAAAATAGATTATAATAAATTAAATGAAACATTCCCAAGTCAACGGCCTATCACGCAACATATAAGGAACGCTGCGCGCACCCACACCCGAGCAAGCAAAAATGATAACGAACATCCATAGAGGGTTCAGAACATTTAGAGGATTTAAAAGTGCGCTTCACAGTCCAGAATTTATCTACGGAGCGACAGGGGGAGGGGGGGCGGGGAAGTTGTGCTGTGCATGACGGTGAGGAGATGATAGAGCTATATAAACTACGTTAAGATGTACGGTACGTTGAACTTCTTTCGCACCATACATAGCCAACCGTGCTAATCGGCGGTGCGGGGTGGGGGGACGACAAACTCAACACAAAAAGCAGTTTGAAAGAAATTAGTTTTCGATCTGGATGATTTAAAAGTGCAGAGCTCCAACGGCTTCCTAATATCGGCAGGAGCATTCCAGACAGTCACAGAAGTGCATCTGAAAGCGCGAGCGACGCCGTGACCGTCTTTGTTCGATGGCGAGCCAAACGGCGCCGCTGCGAGGATGACCAGGAGTTCGCGTGATGATGGTTCATGCAAGAAAGGGGAGACACCTGCGGTGGAGTCCACGTTCTCCCAGGCCTTGGCTCCACCCAGCACATCGTCCACCTCCTTCAGCTTCGGGTAATTCCGCGACGTAATCTGCTCCGGCACGTTGCAACAGCGTCGACCAAAGGAAGACAACGACAACAAAAAACGCAAACGGCTCTTGCACTGCACGTGGACACATAACCAGGTACAAACACGTCATAGAAGGCTGTTGAGGCACATGCTGTTCGCAAGCACCTAGGAAGGCTCACACGGCACATGAGTGGGTGGGTGGCCAGTACCATACCAGATCACCTTTGTCTCTCGAGTGCCGATGCTTACACATCACACCAGGTGCTAATTTGAGGCTTTGTCGACCTAGGGGAGGCCCAGGACTGGTTCATATGATCGTCACCGGTGTTGGCAGTGAGCAGGAATCGAACTCGGGTCACTGGGTTCATAGCGCACTGCACTCACCACTACACTACTGCTCCCCACTCCCAACACACACACACACATTACTCACCACATCACTCCCCCACATCTCATCCTTCACATCACACACAAACAGCTCTCATCACATCACTCCCCTCGCATCACACACACACCACCCGTCACAATACCCAGGGACCGGCCGATGCCTCACCTTGCGCGTGATGCTGTGCACATAGGGGCAAGTGTTGCAGGCGAAGCGGAAGCATTTCTGCCCCTCCTCCACCACGAGCACGTTCCCACACGTCGGGCAGAACAGGAGCATCGCTCCTCTCCTCGCAGCAGAGCTCACGGAGCCTGGGGACTGAACACGCAGACCCGCAGTCAAACCCACACCCTGTGCAAGTCCTAAACAAGCAGTTCTCAACCTGTGGGTCACGCTCCCACCCTGTCTCCCAGGGCGAGGGGGAGTTACAGGCTGCAGAATGGATACCGTGCAGGAGATATTTCGATCGTGCAAGGGGTAACATCAGTGCCACGTTTGGGCAGAAACGCACACCACGAATGCACAACATGAAACAAACGCCTTATTAACAACACCACACGCTGACCAGAGGCATGGACATGTGATCTCTCCGAGGAGAACGAGGGGTCCCAGGGCACTCTTTGGGAGGGGTGGCCTTCATACCAAACATGTTGGGAACCATAACCGTGGCCCAGGGGTCGACAATCTGCGGTTCCGGAGGTCCGTGTGGGCTCTTTGAAGGGCTACTTTGTGACGTGATTGATGAACCCACCGTCTCGACTCGCCACGTGGCATTGCGGCTCTTGAAATGTCGTTTTGTTTTTTTACTGGTAGTAACCACTTGGTTCCACCTGCCCACAGGGGATTATTGTGTCCGTCCGTCGTGCATACAAAAATTGGAGGGGTGAGGCTGGGTGGGGAGGGTGGGGAGGGTTTGGGAGGGGCTGGGTGGGGAGGGGCTGGTCACCCCGTGGTGCCCTGATAAAACTCAACGTTTAACCTACTCAAAAGGCTTGTGCCCGTCCTCACAGTCGGGCATATTTGCGGAATACACCACGCCGCCGTTGACCCTGGCCATTGACCGAGCAACCCAACGTTCCTACCAGCTCCCTCCGCAGGAATGTGTTTACTGAATAAAACACGTTCCTTCGGAGTGGGCAGGTAGGAACTTGGTTGGACAGCGTATTCGTGCACGACAAATAATCCCTGGTGGGCAGTGTGGAACCTGTTGTTCCTACCTGTATGTATAAAAGATAACTTGACTTGAGGTAGCCAGGCAGACAGCCCCCTTAACTATCCCCCCCCCTCCCTTAGGCTCCTCCCCCCTTAGGCCCCTCCCCTGACCCCCTTTCCCTTAGGCCCCTCCCCTGACCCCCCCCCCCATATCCTCAGGCCCCTCCCCTGACCCCCCTTCCCTTAGGCCCCTCCCCTAACCCCCCTTCTGTTAGGCCCCTCCCCTGAGCACCCCCCCCCCATATCCTTAGGGCCCTCCCCTGACCCCCCCTCCCTCAGGCCCCTCCGCTCAACCCCCCCTCAGGCCCCTCTCATGACTCCCCTCTTCCTTAGGCCCCTCCCCTGACCCTCCTCCCTTAGGCACCTCCCCTCTCCGTACCCGGCAGTAGGTCTCCACCAATCAAAGAGCTGTTTGTAAGGTCTCCACCAATCAAAGAGCTGTGTGTATTATATATTTATTTATGTACGACAGACAGACAGCTAAATAATCCCTGGTGGGCAGTGTGGAACATTGTTCCTCCCTGTAAAAAAACCTTGTTTTGGTTGCCAGTCCCTGGCCTAGCCCCTGTGTCAAGCAGCCAGGCGTAATACTTACAAGAAAACCCCGGGGGGTCGATCCTAGGCCGTTGGATCTCAACAACCAATCGATCACAAAATCAAGAGTGTGGATAAACAGGGGACGCCTTGTGTCTCGATAAAAACTTCCTCAGAGGCAAGGCTATAAAGTAAATATTCATATTACACCACCCACCCATCTGACTCTCATCCGTTTCTCAAGGCAAATCGACCATGATGATTTTTTTCTCCCTCTTAATGAGAAAAAACTGTGTTATATATTCATCAACATGTATTTGTGTACATGCTCACTGAATGAGATAACAGAACGTACAGAGAATATACGTTCTGTTGGTGACGCTGTCTGGCAGCGGTGCACAAGAACAAACAACGAAACCTCGAAACATTCGGCAATAACACCGTGACTTTACAAGGGTTAAATATTTAACAGGCGACGTTTCGGCAACGACCCTTCTCCATATAAATCGTGTATAGTATTTACACTGAGATCTCTTTTACCAGTGGCAAAATATAGTAGTAGGTTTTTACCCTTTTAAACTGGTACAAAACTGACACCTTTATTCAAGGCATCATGTTTGCAATAAAAAGAAGCAACTTTGATAATGATAAAAATATGCAGTCCTTGAATCAACTTCAAGGACAGTGCATATTATTATCATTATCAGAGTTGCTTCTTTTTGTTTGCTTTTTTGACTACTTGTGTTGTGGTTATTGCAAACATGATGCTTTGAATAAAGGTGTCAGTTTTGTACCAGTTTAAAAGGGTAAAAACCTACTACTACGTGTACAGCAGTTAAATGCTATTAAAAAGGCCCCATTCCCAGCCGTCGGCGATTAGTGGCGCCGTGAGCTCGCGAGTGGGTGCAGTCCATCATCATCATCGTCGTCAGCTATGATCACTCCACTGCTGAATGATAGCCTCACAAAGCCGTGGGAGCGAAATGTTGACCACCTCGCCAGGTACGCAGGAGGTCGTGGGTTCGACCCGACCCCGACGCCTGCTGCTGCTGCTGCTGTGTATTTGCAGTTTGCGTGTCTCTCTCTTTCGCCCCCCGTGGTCGCGTGGATTTTTCTCTGGTTCCTCCGAGTTTTCCCTTCCACATTTAGAACCGACGTGCATTGCTACTGCGTTAAATGCCCACACGTGATAAGCCACTTGGTTGAGCTATCATTTGTGATGATCAAAGTCGCTTCTAAAACAAAATAGCTTTCCAACTCAGTGGGTCTTAACTGGTAAAAATAAATCTAGATTTGAAGCTTTCGTGACTGCAGGAATCCATACTCTTTGGTTCTTTCGGTAAAGTCACGTAGAGTATGGTGAAATAACAATAGTTTAATTTTGACAATGGCCATTTGCTTGACCCTACTACACCGCGGGTTCGTACGAGTTGATGAAAGCGCTCAAGTTTTGAGAACAACACGAAACCCGCAGTCAAACCCGGACACGTGAGTCTCTGTGGGCATTTCATTTCTGGCGATACATTTTTATAATTTAAAATCGTAAATAAACACCCGAGTCTCACTTTCATTTCTGGCGGTATTTTTTTTGTTGTCGATTAAAATCGTAAATTTGGCCCCGAATTCTTTACGCGAAACCCCCCCCCCCCCCCCCCACGTAATAATTTCGGCGAGGTAAACGTCGCAACTTTAAATTCACGACCCCCCAGCGAAACGTAAAACATTAATTACTGTACAAATATTGCACTCCTTACTGTACCTCGCCGCGTGGAACTGTACGAGCCGACCACGTGACCGGAACGAGGCGCCCCTCCCCCCTCATTAACATTGCTCGCCTGTGATTGGCTGATAGCGGCGGGGGGGGGGGCGGTGGGAGGGGTGGTCACGTTGTCGTGAACCAACCAATCAGGAGGAGCCGCGTATTTAAGGTACAGTGCGACCAGTCCAGAGTGGCCCGTCTCTCTCCACTGCTGGATGAGGGCCGCGCCAATCGTGGTGGCTTCGGGTGGTGGTGGCACGACCATACTTCACCGCGCTGGTTAATGCGGGTCGGTGTGAACGCGGGCAGGAGAGACGTGGGGAGCGCACACGATACGTTTATAGGACAGCCATTGCCACTGTGAATCACTCTCGCAAATGAGACTCATCCCCAGGTCTTTTGAGCTGCTCACATGGTGGTAACACAAATACACTTGGAACTTGAGTTTGTGAGTCCTGGTCACTTCAGTTCAAGAGTCCTGGGTTCTTGACTTTGTGAGTCATGGGTGCATGAGTTTGTGAGTAATGGGTTTCAGTCCAGGGTGCTTGCATGTGTGAATCCTGGGTTTTTGAATTTGTGAGTAATGGGTTTCATTCCAGGGTGCTTGAATGTGTGAATCCTGGGTTTTTGAATTTGTAAGTAATGGGTTTCAGTCCAGGGTGCTTGAATTTGTGAATCCTGGGTTTTTGAACTTGTGAGTAATGGGTTTCAGTCCAGGGTTCTTGAATGTGTGAATCCTGGGTTTTTGAATTTGTGAGTAATGGGTTTTAGTCCAGAGTGCTTGAATGTGTGAATCCTGGGTTTTTGAATTTGTGAGTAATGGGTTTCAGTCCAGGGTGCTTGCATGTGTGAATCTTGGGTTTTTGAATTTGTGAGTAATGGGTTTCAGTCCAGGGTGCTTGAATTTGTGAATCCTGAGTTTTTGAATTTGTGAGTAATGGGTTTCAGTCCAGGGTTCTTGAATGTGTGAATCCTGGGTTTTTGAATTTGTGAGTAATGGGTTTCAGTCCAGGGTGCTTGCATGTGTGAATCTTGGGTTTTTGAATTTGTGAGTAATGGGTTTCAGTCCAGGGTTCTTGAATGTGTGAATCCTGGGTTTTTGAATTTGTGAGTAATGGGTTTCAGTCCAGGGTTCTTGAATGTGTGAATCCTGGGTTTTTGAATTTGTGAGTAATGGGTTTCAGTCCAGGGTGCTTGAATGTTTGAATCCTGGGTTTGATTCCTGGGTTGTTGAGTTTCTGAGTCCTGGGTGCTTTAATTTCTGAATTCTAGGTTCGAGTTCTGGGTTTGAGCCCTGGGTACTTGAATTTGTGGATCCTGGATTCTTGAATTTGTGAGTCCTGAGTTTGAGTCCTGGGTTCTTGGGTTTGTTGAGTCCAGGGTTTTTAATCCTGGGTAGGGTTGTTGAGTTGACGTCCCAGGTTTTTGGTTCGCGGCCCAATTCTCCTGTCCCTTCTCACAGAGTGGAACTTCTCCCCCGCTCGTGAAATGGAGACCAACGTGGAGATCAAGGCAGATGAGGTCAAGGCAGAGGAGACCAGGGATGAGACTCGCGATGAAGAGACTGGAGGTCGCATAGACGATGAAGAGGAGCGACGAGGTGATGGGGATGGAGGTGAAGTTTAATGATGTAATCGTGTTAATACGCTCGATGATTGTAAAGGAAGTGATGCTGAATTTGAAGGATGGTATTGATGGTAAGGATCGTGGTGATGGTTATAGTGATTATTAATAGCAGCGTCAGTGATATTAATTGCAGTCCTTTGTCAGTCCACTGCTGGATTAAGGCCTCCCAATGCCATGTCGCTCACAGAGGTTGTTTGACCATACTTCACGCTGGGTGATGGAGGTTGGGGAAGGAGATTGGTCCAGGACTGATGCAGATGTCACTCGCTACTAATATGAGCCGTGGTCGGTAATTAATCGTGTGGTGCGCTAACCATGGCACCACCACTCCACCAGTCCATGGTCGTAGCTGTGGGCAATTGGTGTGGATGATTGTGGTGATAATGATTAAGGTTGCGATGATGGTGGCGATTGTAACACAGTTTTTGTTCCTGGGTACTAAGTGTTATTTTTTAATTGCTTATGCCTAAAAAGTATAGAAAATGACTATTATTCCCCACAAACAAAAAATTACAAAAAACTACATTTCGATCGCAACACTATCTACGCGACTTTACCGAAAGATCCAAGAATATGAATTCCTGCAGTCACGAAAGCTTTAAGTCAAGATTTATTACTGTCCTGGTCAAAAAAGCAAAGTTTGTGGGGAATAATAACCATTTAATGTACTTTTGAGGCATCAGCAATTAGGAAATAAACACTACCCAGGAACAAAAAAAAAGTGTTTTGTTACACAGTGTTAAAACAATGACGGTGATATTTGCGTACTTGATGTTGACGTTTCCTGTGATGAAGCTGCTGGTGGCAAAGTTCATGAAGATGCCAAACGAGAGCATGATGAGGAAGATGACGATGATGAGGAGGATGAGGAAGACGATGATGACGAGGAGGACGAGGAGAAAATGAGCCACACGCAGTTCCTGGATGTCTTCCAGGAGGGCATGGCCAGGATACTTCAGGACCCCCTGCTGTGCGACCTCCCTGTGGGGGTCAGTGGGGTGGGGGGGTGGGGGGGTGAGGGAGGAGGTAGAGCAGTGGCACAGCGGTTCGTGCGCTGCGCTACAAATCCGAGTTCAATTCCCGCTCGCAGCCAACATCGGTGACGAATATCTGAACCTGTCGGTCCTGGGCCTCCCCTAGGTCGACTCGGCCTCAAATGAGTACCTGGTGCAGTGTGTAAACATTGCCACTGAGGAGACAGGCGGGCAGGGCTATACAAGGAATCTTTGTCTTTGGAGGTGGTAGAGTAATGTTTCTTCATCGTCATCGTCACCATAGCCTATGATTCTAGATTTGAAGCTTTCGTGACTGCAAGGATTCATATTCTTAGGTTTTTTCGGTAAAGTCACGTAGGTAAAACATTAAAATTAATAAAAGTAAAATAAAATAAAAATCACGACGTTTCGGAGGCAACACAAGTCTCCGTCATCAGGTGGGACCGTCACAGCCAGATTTGCTGCATCAAGTGAGGCAATGATTCAAGATGTAATCCCTTAAAAGCAAGTTGAGGAGGGAGGAGAGGGGAGGGAGCTCATCAGAATGTGGTAGCCAATGAATGGAACGTATCGGGAGGGAGGGGGGCGGGGCTCAAAGACGGCACGAAGTGCCACGTAGAACGCATCGGGAGGGGGAGGGGGGCGGGGCCAAAAGAATGCACGACGTGGTACACGAGAGTCGGCGACGTGGACGTGGTTGTGCGCAAGCAATCACTGCTGCACACGCCAACGCATTGGACAGAGAGGGGGAGGGGAGGCCAAAAGAGAGTGTGGGGTGCAAGTGTACGTGGACATGTGTGTGTACAAGCACCTGTTGATACACATGACAGAAAAGAACGAAAATGCCCATGTTTATACCAGTGCTGGCTGAACAATGAAGAGAGTACTGTTAAACACTGGGGATGTTAACACTCGGTAATGTAAAGTAAAATAGTGCCTGTCAGATAAGATGGTCTACAAATGTTTAATTAAGTCTTTTTTGCGTGGTTGATAACATCTTTCCAATGATTACTAAGTTTGTACCCATCATCACGGTTGAAATTATGTCCAATGGTGATTGCTACATTGGAGAAACGAAACGTCATGTTTCTGATCGTGTCCGCGAGCACAAGTCAGATCTGAAACATGGCAGAACTGATTCTTCGGCCGTTGCCGATCATTGCTACAACTCGGTGGGCTCTCATGAAATTGTCTTTTCCGAGACCAAGGTTCTCTGCAAACCTCCTGGCTACCATCAAAGGTTTGTACACGAAGCCATACAAATATACAAACACAGACATAATTTCAACCGTGATGATGGGTACAAACTTAGTAATCATTGGAAGATGTTATCAACCACGCAAAAAAGACTTAATTACACATTTGTAGACCATCTTATCTGACAGGCACTATTTTACTTTACTTTACCGAGTGTTAACATCCCCAGTGTTTAACAGTACTCTCTTCATTGTCAGCCAGCACTGGTATAAACATGGGCATTTTCGTTCTTTTCTGTCATGTGTATCAACAGGTGCTTGTACACACACATGTCCACGTACACTTGCACCCCACACTCTCTTTTGGCCTCCCCTCCCCCTCTCTGTCCAATGCGTTGGCGTGTGCAGCAGTGATTGCTTGCGCACAACCACGTCCACGTCGCCGACTCTCGTGTACCACGTCGTGCATTCATTTGGCCCCGTCCCCCTCCGGATGCGTTCTACGTGGCACTTCGTGCCGTCTTTGAGCCCCGCCCCCCTCCCTCCCGATACATTCCATTCATTGGCTACCACATTCTGATGAGCTCCCCCCCCCTCTCCTTCCCCTCAACTTGCTTTTAAGGAATTACATCTTGAATCATTGCCTCACTTGATGCAGCAAATCTGGCTGTGACGGTCCCACCTGATGACGGAGACTTGTGTTGCCTCCGAAACGTCGTGATTTTTATTTTATTTTACTTTTATTTTAATGTTTTACCTACGTGACTTTACCGAAAAAACCTAAAAATACATAGCCTATGACCTCATCACTTATAACATTGGTCAACACATTTTTTTTGGCATAAGGTATTCCAACGGTTTTAAGGTAATTTTGAGGTGCTGCTTCCAAATCTGGCATCAGTTTTTGTCTATCACATCAGGTTTTTTGAGATATCAAATATTGCATTTTCAATAAAAACTGCAGAAGAAAAATATTAAATAAATGTGGATATCTACATAAAAATTATATTATAAACGCACTATCCTAAAAATACAGCACCATAGTTTAACACTAAAGCAGTCACTGACTCGCAACAACTTGCAATCATAAGTGACAGAGTTAATTTCGGGTCAAATCAATGAAAATGGGGTATGCCGATAGCATAAAATGAGATGTGATAGAGCAAATCTGAGATCAGATTTGGAATCAGCACCCTGAAATTAGTCTAAAACAGCTGCAAAAGTCCGGGCCAGAAAAAAA